TGCTGAGACTCTAGAAAGAGTGCAGAGAAGAGCAACAAAGATGATCAGGGAACTGGAGGCTAAAGCATATAAGGAAAGGTTGCTGGAATTGGGGATGTCCAGTTTAACGAAGAGAAGGACGAGGGGGGGCAGGATAGCAGCGTTCCAATATCTCAGGGGCTGCCCCAAAGAAGAGGGAGTCAAGCTATTCTCCAAAGCGCCTGAAGGCAGGAGAAGAAGCAACGGATGGAAACTGATCAAGGAGAGAAGCAACCTAGAACCAAGGAGAAACTTCCCGACAGTCAGAACAATTAACCAGTGGAACTACCTGCCTCCAGAAGCTGTGAATGCTCCAACACTGGAGGTTTTTAAGAAGAGACTGGACAGCCATTTGTCCGAAATGGGATAGGGTCTCCTGCCTGAGCGGGGGGTTGGACTAGATGACCTCCAAGGTCCCTTCCAACTGTTTATTATTATTATTATATTATTATTATTTTATTATTATTATATATATATTATAAATAATAATAATAATAATAATAATAATAATAATAATAATAATAATAATAATAATAATAGTGCCTGGAGACAGCAGAATAGAAGAGAAAGAACTGGAGAAGATAACAAAATACAAAGACCTACAAATAGAAATAGAAAGACTGTGGCAAAAGCAAGCAAGGGTAGTACCAATAGTCATAGGCTCCTTGGGTGCAATCCCAAAACAACTGGAGCACCACTTGAACACCATTGGCATTGACAAATTCGCTATTAGTCAATTGCAAAAGGCGGCCTTATTAGGAACTGCTTCCATCCTGCGACGATATCTGTAATACCATCAAACATCCACATCTGCCTATCCCAGGTCCTGGGTAAGGACTCGATAGGTAGACAAAATGCCAAATCCAGTCTGAACATCTGGCTGACTGTGCGATGATCCATAATAATAATAATAATAATAGGATTGCCCAAAAAAGTTGGGCAATGAAATATCTGCAAGAAAACCCCACAGCTCAACGCTGAGCTCCGGATACGCTTTTCCCAGAGGAAGGTCAGTTGTCCAAGCAGAGGCCAGTGGAGGTCTCCCTGGGCCCTTCGGCCTTCCTGGCTCCCTCCTCCTGCTGACGCCCCAGAGCAGCCCAGCCCTGGCGGGAGGGCCACAATCCCTGCTGACGGGGCTCCCTGAGGACCCCTCGGCCAATCAGCCCCTGGGCCCAGGCCCTTTGCTGCTCAAGCTCCGGAACTCCTGGGGCCTCTTGGCTCCATCCTCCTTCAAAGGCAGCCGGGCCTTTGCTCAGACGCCCCCCTGGCCTCCCTCCAGCTGTGCCGGGGGGGGGGGCAGAACAGCTGGGGTGGCCCTCCTTCCTTCCTCCCAGACCTTCATCCTTCCGGCCTCCCTCGCAGGAAGGTTGGCAAAGAGACAGAGCAAGCCCTCTCTTCTCTCTCAAATCGGGCACTGTGTGTGTGTGTGTGTGTGTGTGTTTGTGTGTGTTGAGGATTACTAGTCCAAACGAGGACGAGCAGCCCTTGGAGCCAGGGACTTTTCCTTTCCAAATGAGCTGCACAATTAAAAAAGGTAAACAAAGGCCGTTGTGGCCCTTGAAATGGGCTGCTCCGTTTATTCTTAGGCTTGTTTCCATCCCCAAATTAACCACAAATGTTTGTTTATTTTATGACCAAGGTCAAAACGTAGCATTCGAGCTAGTTGGCCGGCCAGGATCTCCTGCTGTGCAGAAAAACATGCAAGGAGTCCTCGACTCACGGCCACAGTTGAGCCCCAAAATTCCTGTTGCTAAGCAAGGCAGTCGTTAAGTGAGTTTGGCCCCATTTAACGACCTTTCTTGCCTCGGTTGAATCCTGCCATTGTTAAGTTAGTCGCATGGTTGTTAAATGAATCTGGATTCCTCACTGACTTTTCTGTTGGAAGGTCGTAAAAGGGGATCACAGACCCTCCTGGTACACTGCGACCGTCATAAGTATGAGTCAGCTGCCAAGGTCTGAATTTTGATCACATGACCCTGGGGATACTGCAGGGGGTGAAAAACGGTTGCGTCCCTCTTTTCAGTGCTGTTGTGACTTTGAACACTAAATAATAGAATAGATCTGGAAGGGACCTTGGAGGTCTTCTAGTCCAGCCCCCCACTCAAGCAGGAGAACCTATATACCATCTCAGACAAGGGACTGTCCAGTCTCTTCTTAAAAGCCTCCAGTGATGGAGCACCCACGACTTCTGGTGGCAAGCTGTTCCACTGGTTGATTGTCCTCACTGTCAGGAAGTTTCTCCTTAATTCCAGGTTGCTTCTCTCCTTGATCAGTTTCCATCCATTGTTTCTCGTCCTGCCTTCTGGTGCTTTGGAGAATAACGTGACCCCCTTCTCTTTGGGGCAGCCCCTCAGATACTGGAAGACTGCTATCATGTCTCCCCTGTTTCTTCTTTTCTTTAGACTAGCCAAACCCAAGTCCTGCCGCCGTTCTTCGTATGTTTTAGTCTCCGGACCTTCAATCATCTTAGTTGCTCTTCTCTGAATTTTTTCTAAACCCCCAACACCTTTTTTTGTGATATGGTGACCAAAATTGGCTGCAGTATTCCAGGGGTGGCCTCATTAGGTTTTTATAAAGCACTACTAATACCTGGTGTGATCTTGATTCTATGCCTCTCTTTATACCACCAGGATTGTGTTAGCTTTTTTGGCTGCTGCTGCACACGGCTGGCTCACGGTCAAGCGGTCGTCCACTAGGACTCCAAGGTCCCTCTCATAGTGGCTGTTTTTGAGCCAGGTCTCACCTAATCTGTACTTGCGCCTTTGGGTTTTTCCTACCTAAATGTAAAACTTTGCTTTTCTCCACGTTGAAACTCATTTTGTTGGACAGGGCCCTTTGTTCGAGTTTGTCAAGACCTTTTTGGATCCTGAGTTCGTCTTCTGGGGTGTTGGCTATTCCTGCCAGTTTATGATGAACGGTTGCAGATTGAGGCCTATCTGTAGTTGAAAGGAGTCAGCTGGTGCTTCAGATCCCAGCTGGGGAGGGGTCCAGAAAGGGCAGCTCAGGTGGGCGAAGGGGTCGTATGGGCCGAAGAAAGTTCTTCTTTCCTGGTGCCAGAATCCGGCAGCAAGAAACACCCGGGTGTCGATTGGCTGGGCCCTTTCCCCATTCCTCTCCTTAGGATGAGGCGGCCCTGATTCGTGGGGTGCAACCTGCTTTTCCAGAATGTGGAATAATAGAGTTGGAAGGGGCCTTGGGGGTCTTCTAGTCCAGCCCCCTGCTCAAGCAGGAGAGCCTATGCCAGGGGTAGGCAACCTTGGCTCTTTTATGACTCGTGGACTTCAACTCCCAGAATTCCTGAGCCAGCATGGGGGAACTATGGCCCCTTCATGACTCGTGGACTTCAACTCCCAGAATTCCTCAGCCAGCATGGGGAAAACTTTGGCCCCTTCATGACTGGGGGACTTCAACTCCCAGAATTCCTCAGACAGCCTGGCTCAACTTGGAAACCTCTCTTTCCCCTCAGCATGGCTGGCTCAGGAATTCTGGGAGTTGAAGTCCACAAGTCGTAAAAGAGCCAAGCTGGCCTACCCCTGGTCTATGCCATTTCAGGCAAGTGACCGTCCAGTCTTTTCTTAAAAGCCTCCAGTGAAACAGCACCTACAATCTCTGGAGGCGGGCAGTTCCACTGGTTAATTGTTCTCAGTGTCAGGAATTTCCTCCTTAGTTCCAGGTTGCTTCTCTCCTTGATGAGTTTCCATCCGTTGCTTCTTGTCCTGCCTTCTTCAGGGGCTTTGGGGAATGGGGTGACCCCCTCAACCTGGGATCAGCCCAGCGCTCCAGCGCCCTTGTGCTTCCTCCGCTGGTAGGGAAAGCGACCAGACTGGGAGGGTCTCCGCCACCTCCAGTCTTCTCCCCCCCCCAGACCTTTCTTCCTCCTCCCTGTTTATTGTAACCACAGCTGAATGAATAAACAATAATACGTATGTATTATGACGTACTTTCACAGCCAGCCCTTACGGAGCAGAGCTGAGCAAGGGAGTGATCCAAATGAATGCTAACTGGAATGGGAGACCCCCCCCCCCACAAGCCCCTCCCCAGACTCTTGAAAAAAGATTTCCAAAGGTGGGAGTGGCATTCCGCACCTTCCCTCCTTCCTTCCTTTCTCCCCCTTCTCTTTCCTCCTTCTTTCCTTCCTTCCCTCCCTCTCCTCCTTCCTTTCTCCCTCCCTCTCCTTCCTCCCTGCATTCCTCCTTCCTTCCTCCCTTTCCTCCTTCCTCCCTCCTTCCTCTTCCTCTCTTCTTCCCTTCCCTCTCTCCCTTCCCCCCTTCCCTCTCCTTCCTTTCTCCCTCCCTCCCTTCCCTCCCTTCCTTCCTTCCTTCCTTCCTTCCTTCCTTCCCTCTCCTCCTTCCTTCCTTCCCTCTCCTCCTTCCTTCCTTCCCTCTCCTCCTTCCTTTCTCCCTTCCTTCCTTCCTTCCTTCCTTCCTTCCTTCCTTCCTTCCTTCCTTCCTTCCCTCTCCTCCTTCCTTTCTCCCTCCCTCCCTTCCCCCCTTTCCTTCCTTCCTCCCCTTCCTTCCTTCCTTGGCTAGGGTGATGATGTTACCCAGTTTGTTAATGCAACATCTGCGAGAAAGCAACCAAGCTCGGAGAGCACCAAGGACCCATCATTAAAATTAAATATTGCCATCAGAGTTCACAAAGACAAGCAGGAGCCAGTGTACAGCAGGGTGAAGACGGAACGTTCTCTTAAACCACCAGCCGCCCTCAGCAAGACACACACACAGACACACACACCCTGTTGAGACCCCAGGCCAGTGGGTGGAAGCAGCTTTGCAGGCCCTTCCGGGGGGGGGCAAGCAGGGGGGGCTCTCTCTCCTGGTGGGGGGGCACAACGATCTTCTGGTAAGGCTCCCTCCTCCCTCCCTACTACATGGTGAATGTGCACAGACCTGAGAGGGCCCTGTGGGAATTGGGGGTTCGGAAGGGGTTCGGCAGGGGGGAAAAAAACCCGCCTGTCCCTGCTGCTTCTCCCCCTTCTGCAGTCTACAACTGGACGGTCGAGGAGGTGGTGCAGTGGCTGATCACCTACGTGGAGCTCCCCCAGTACGAAGAGACCTTCCGGAAGCTTCAGCTCACCGGCCACGCCATGCCCAGGTCAGCCTGCCGGTCCGTGGCCCGAGAGCCAGGCCATTGAGACCTGGGGAGGGGGTGACGGGGCGGGTGGCAGTGGCTTGGGGGGAGACGGTAGTCTTGGGAGGCCGCTGGTGCCCCTGAGAAGCCCCCCCCCCCCGTGTGCTTTGCTAAGAGATTTGCTTTCTCTTTTCAAACCGGTGCTGTTTTTATTTCATTTATTTTTTATCCCACCTTTATTATTTTACAATTGGCTCAAGGCGGCAAACATATCCAACATATCCTTCCTCCTCCTATTTTTCCACAATGACAACCCTGTGAGGTGGGCTGCACTGAGAGAGAGTGGACTGGCCCAAAATCCACGAGCTGGCTTTCCTGCCTAAGGCGGGACTAGAACTCCCCGTCTCCTGGTGATTGGCCCAAAGTCACCCAAATGGCTTTCATGGCTAAGGCGGGACTAGAACTCCCCGTCTCCTGGTGATTGGCTCAAAGTCACCCAGATGGCTTTCATGCCTGAGGCGGGACTAGAACTCCCTGTCTCGTGGTGATTGGTCCAAAAACACCCAGATGGCTTTCATGCCTGAGGCGGGACTAGAACTCCCTGTCTCCTGGTGATTGGTCCAAAGTCACCCAAATGGCTTTCATGGCTGAGGCGGGACTAGAACTCACTGCCTCCTGGTGATTGGCCCAAAGTCACCCAGCTGGTTTTTCTGCCCAAGACGGGACTAGAACTCCTAGACCAGCACCTTAACCATTAGACCCACTGGCTTTTCTTCTGCTGTTTTTTTGTCCGTGGTTGCCCATGTGCAGAGTTTGAACCCTTGGCCTTTCCTGTGTCTGGCCCAGGAGTTTCCCTTTCCCAAGAAATCTGCAGTTCCTTTTCCAAAGGAGGGCAGTTCCTTTAGTGTAGCAGTACTAAGTATATATAAATACCGAAAGCAAATATTAAATGAACATAAAAGTAAACAAGATTTTTTTTTCTGTCTGGCGTCACCCCCATAAAAGAAATCTTGATCCTTGGATGGATGCATTAGAAAAGAAAAATCTAAAACTTTTCAACACCCCAGAAGTTGTGCGATCTTTTCCTGTGTGATGTAGAATTCCTTTCCTTCTGCCACTCTCGGAGCCTCTCCTGAAATTCTACTTTTCCTTGACCTGAAAGAAGAAAATGCGGCTGGGGGGGGGGGGTTAAAGAAGCTTTTGGAGCACAGTGATCCCCAGTGAGATCAATTAAGCTTAAACCAGTGGTTCTCAACCTTTTTAATGCCGCGACCTCCAACCGGTCCTAAGTCGAGGACCACTCAACCGGTCGTAAGTCGAGGACTACTCAACTGGTCGTAAGTCGAGGACTACTCAACGGGTGCAGCACCGTTTGCAGACTGGGGCTTTTGGCGGGCTCAGCAGGGCAGAGACAGCCTGGACAATTCCTATTGGCTTTCAAAAGCCAATAGAATTAGACTCTATTCAAGAGAGTCTATTCTATTGGCTTTCGAAAGCCAATAGAATAAAAGGGAGTAGCACAGCTAAGGAAAAGGGGGAAAAAACGGCGGACTGCGTTGTTTGGCGACCCCCGTGAAATGGTCCTTCGACCCCAAATGGGGTCCCGACCCACAGGTTGAGAACCACTGGCTTAAAGGAACGTGAAATGCGCAAAATTTACTAGAGCGTCTCCCCTGGGATCTCTAGTTTTCAGGCTTCCTGGGGGAATTTGCACAAGCGGAGAAGGGAACAACTGAAAAAGTCGGGTGGGCAACTTTAAGACCTGTGGACTTCAGCTCCCAGAATTCCCCAGCCGGCCTTAAATGAGAGAGTTGGAAGGGACAAGAAGGGTCCCTTAGTCCAGGGGTCCCCAACCTTGGCCCCTTTAAGACCTGTGGACTTCAACTCCCAGCTGGCTGGGGAATTCTGGGAATTGAAGTCCACAGGTCTTAAAGGGGCCAAGATTGGGGACCCCTGCCCTAGTCCAGATTTTCTCAATCTGGGCAATTTTAAGCTGTGTGGACTTCAACTCCAAAATTGCCCCGCCAGCCATACTAGCTGAGGAATTCTGGGAGTTGAAGTCTACACGTCTTAAAGTTGCCAAGGTTTGACGCGCTGGTAGTACAGGAGAAGGGGCAGGCTGGCGTTTCTCCTGCTCTCGGTTCCCAAAAGTGTCACCCATTGGGAATGTGCCTTCAAGACCGGTTGAGGCAGGTACGGGCACCTGCAGGGGATCTGGCAGGATTGGGGTGCAGTCTGGAGACCCAAGTCCTCCTGGAAAATAATTGCCCTGCCTCGCATGGACCTTTCCTAGTGAGGGAGGTTATGCAGCGGGAAGTCACACCTACTTGGCTGGATCTGCTTCTTCTCCACCCTTGTGGAAGCTGGACAGGTGTTCCCACCTGTGTTCTCTCTTCCATGCAGTTGAGGTGCTAAGAGGGCTGGATCTGGGATTTGGCAACTCTGCTGAGATCCTCCAGCAGGGATCGTTCCTCTTTTAGGAAGTCCCGTTCAGACGTTGCCTTCAAAACTTTGAGAAAGACCAGGAAACGGCCTCTGATCTTGTTCCTGTGGCCAGCAGCGCACCTGAGTGGATCCTGTGGGGTCCTTGGTGCTCTCTGAGAGTAGCGGTTTTCTTGGTGATGTTTCATGACCGAACTAGGGAACAGCATCAGTGCTAGAAGGTTGCGTAGGACGTTCATCATTCAAGTGGTTCTATGGAACTTTCTGGCACTCATGCTGTTCCCTAGTTGGGTTATGAAACATCTGCAAGAAAACCAGATTCAGAGAGCACCAAGGAAGCCATCCTCCTCCTCCTCCTCCTCCCTTCTAGCACTGATGATGTCACCTACTTGGGTCATGAAACGTCTGCAAGAAAACCACCCAGCTCAGAGAGCACCAAGGACCCCATAGTCTTTCTTTCTTTTCTTTTCTTTCTTTCTTTCTTTCTTTCTTTCTTTCTTTCTTTCTTTCTTTCTTTCTTTCTTTCTTTCTTTCTTTCTTTCTTTCCTTCCTTCCTTCCTTCCTTCCTTCCTTCCTTCCTTCCTTCCTTCCTTCCTTCCTTCCTTCCTTCCTTCCTTCCTCCTCCTCTTCCCTTGTAGCACTGATGATGTTCCCTAGTTGGGTCATGAAACGTCTGCAAGAAAACCACCCAGCTCAGAGAGCACCAAGGACCCCATAGTCTGGGTTGGACTAGATGACCTCCAAGGTCCCTTCCAACTTTACTACTATTATTATTCTTTCTTTCTTTCCTTCCTTCCTTCCTTCCTTCCTTCCTTCCTTCCTTCCTTCCTTCCTTCCTTCCTTCCTTCCTTCTTTCCTTCCTTCCTTCCTTCCTCCCTCCCTCCCTCCCTCCCTCCTCCTCCTCCACCCTTCTAGCACTGACGATGTCACCTAGTTGGGTCATGAAACGTCTGCAAGAAAACCGCCCAGCTCAGAGAGCCTGTCGGACCCCAGAGTTGAAGCCTGAGCTGCAGAGATCCTTTTGAGCAGATTCTGTTGAGGGAAGTGGAGCTCTGACCTCTCTCTCAGCTGGCCACTCTGTGCTTCTTCCTTGCAGGCTGGCCATCACCAACGCCACCATGACCGGGACGCTCCTGAAGATGACCGACAGGAGCCACCGGCAGAAGCTGCAGCTGAAAGCCCTGGACACCGTGCTCTTCGGCCCGCCTCTCCGTGAGTGACCCTCCCGCGTGCCAGGATGCTGGAAGCCAGGTTTCGGGAGGTGGGGGGGGGCTCGGACTTCCACTCCCGTCGCCCTGAGCTAAGCTAAAGCCAAGGAATTGTGGGAATGTGAGTTCAAGCCCCTCGAAGGACCGAAGGCTGGGACGGATTTCCCAGCAGCCCTGAAGCGCTGTGACCTCCTCCCTTCTGGCTTGGCCCTCGCGTTTCTGAGGTTGTGAGCGTGATCACAACTCTTTGAGGTTTGCAGTGACGCCGTGAAGGCCAGCTGCGACTCTCCGGCGAGGGGGAAGTGGGGGAGAAAACGCTGGAAGGCTGCCCCTCCGTGGTGGGACCCCCGTGTCCTGGGGAGGGGCCCAGTTTTAAACGCAGCTGGAGGGCAAACGTGGTTTCTGTGGGGCCCCTCCTGCCTTCTGTGAAAAAAAGGTTGCAAGACGGCTTGCGACAGTGATGGGCAGGCTTCATTACAGTCGTATGTCGAGGAGCACCTGTGGCTCAGAGTTCTTATTTATTTATTTTGTTTATTAAATTTATACACTGCTTATCTTGCAGTTACACTATAATAATAATAATAATAATAATAATAATAATAATAATAATAATAATAATAATATAAAGTTGGAAGGGACCTTGGAGGTCATCTAGTCCAACCCTCTGCTCAGGCAGGAAACTCTATACCATTTCATTCCAGTCTCTTCTTAAAAACCTCCAGTGTTGGAGCATTCACAGCTTCTGGAGGCAGGTGGTTCCGCTGGTTAATTGTTCTAACTGTCAGGTTGCATGATCAAAATCCAGACGCCTGGCGACCGGTTCATATTTATGACGGTCGCAGAGTCCCGGGATATCTGTGTGTCACGTGATCCCCTTTTGCGACTTCCCGATAAGCAAAGTCAACGGGGGGAACCGGGTTCACTTAACAACTCTGTAGCTACGTAAACAACTGCAGTGATTCACTTAACAATGGCGCTAAGAAAGGTTGTAAAACGAGGCAAAACTCAATTGTCTTTCTTAGCAATGGGCATTTTGGACTCAGCTGTGATCGTAAGTCGAGGATTGCCTGTAAATGCAATGAGGGTTTTGCTTTGTTTTGTTTCCTAGTTGCATTACCTGGGTGTGTCTTTGTGTTTGTGTTGGAACTCACACGCTTTTACTGGGAGTGTTCCTATTTTATCACCAGGAAGCTCTCGGTACACTGAAGAAGTAAATAGGCCTGGCTGGGGTGGAGTCTCTTTATGGCCTTTGAGGAGAGGACGGGCAGTCTGATCCGTTCGAACTCATTTGCTGCATATTGGAGGCTTTCAAACTTAATTTGATGAATTCTGTGGCGGTTTTGTGTGTGTGTGTGTGTGTCTGTGTGTAGTTTAAAGGAATAGTTTAGAGAAAGGACAGAGAGAGACCTCAAGGGATTATGACTGCATCTGTATATTCTTCTAATGCTGAGAGATTTCCGAGTTGTGTATATAACGGCTTATGAGTCCTTAACCACTTTACGATTTGTTTAAAATTCGAGTGGATATATTGGCCCTATTTTTTTGTGTGTTTATTTGCTGTTGGACCTGGAGCACTTCATTTCAGCTCTTCACACCAGTGTTTCTCCACACAGGCCCCGTGAAGACCTGCGGACTTCAACTCCCAGAATTCCCCAGCCAACATGGGCTACCTGGGAGTCAAAGTTCACGCATCTTAAGGGGGCCTGTGTGGAGAAACACTGCTCCCTACATCAGGGGTAGGCAACCTTGGCTCTTTTATGACTCATGGACTTCAACTCCCAGAATTCCTGAGCCAGCCATGCTGAGGGGAAAGGGAGAGGTTTCCAATCTGAGTCAAGCTGGCTCAGGAATTCTGGGAGTTGAAGTCCACCAGTCATGAAGGGGCCATAGTTCCCTCATGCTGGCTCAGGAATTCTGGGAGTTAAAGTCCACGAGTTATGAAGGGGCCATAGTTCCCCCATGCTGGCTGAGGAATTCTGGGAGTTGAAGTCCACCAGTCATGAAGGGGCCATAGTTCCCCCATGCTGGCTGAGGAATTCTGGGAGTTGAAGTCCACAGGTCATGAAGGGGCCATAGTGTCCTCCAGGCTGGCTGAGGAATTCTGGGAGTTGAAGTCCACAAGTCATGAAGGGGCTAAACTTTCCCCCATGCTGGCTCAGGAATTCTGGGAGTTGAAGTCCACGAGTCATAAAAGAGCCAAGGTTGCCTACCCCTGCCCTACATCAACAATTTCTTGGGGAAAAAAAGAAACAAATAAAAAACTCAATAAAGGCTTTGTTGAGGGAAAAGGGTCTTTTCTCCTTCTTCAAAGTCTTGCGCTGTTACCTGGGCTTATTTATATCCCGGCATTTTCTCAAAAAGCACCAGGAAGCATCTTTGACTTAGTTTGTATCATCGTAACAATCCTGTGAGAAGGATGAGCTGGTAGGAAATGACTGCAAGAGCTTTACTTTCATAAGGTAGATAGAAAATATTTATTTCAGTGACCAGATAAAGCAGAACACACGTAAACTAAATGCAAAGGGGCAGAGGGGAATCCATCCACATAACTATGGAAAATGGGAGAGATGACTGTTTGAATGAATGAACAGTACTACCAAAGAATTCCATCACTGCAACGTCAAAAAGCATCCCTGAAGATGACAGTGCTAACACTATTACCAAAGAAAATGAAGCAGTCCTCAAGACTTAAGCTCTCCAGTGCTCTAAAGCAGCTGGGACATCAACTCCCAGAATTCCTCAGCCAGCATGGGGAAACTATGGCCCCTTCATGACTCGTGGACTTTAACTCCCGGAATTCCTCAGCCAGCATGAGGGAAACTTTGGCCCCTTCACGACTCGTGGACTTCAACTCCCAGAATTCCTCAGCCAGCATGGGGGAATTATGGCCCCCTCATGACTCATGTACTTCAACTCCCAGAATTCCTCAGCCAGCATGGGGGAACTATGTCCCTCTCATGACTCGTGGACTTCAACTCCCAGAATTCCTGAGCCAGCATGGGGGAAACTTTGGCCCCTTCATGACTCGTGGACTTCAACTCCCAGAATTCCTGAGCCAGCATGGGGGAATTATGGCTCCTTCATGACTCGCGGACTTCAACTCCCAGAATTCCTGAGCCAGGCTGGCTCAGCTGGGAAGCCTCTCCCTTTCCCCTCAGCATGGCTGGCTCAGGAATTCTGGGAGTTGAAGTCCACGAGTCATAAAAGAGCCAAGGTTGCCTACCCCTGCCCTACATCAACAATTTCTTGGGGAAAAAAGATCAAACTGGTGACGTGATCAGAATTTGGTTGCCTGGCAACTGGCATGCATTGACCATGATGGCAGCAACCCAGAGTCACGCCAGCATTGCCTTTTGCCACCATCTGACCAGCCGGGGAAACCAGATTCACTTAACAACTTCAGTGATTTGCTTAAACTCCGTGGCGAAACAGGCCGTAAAGTGAGGCAAAACTCACTTGCCAACAGTCTGTCTTAGCCAGGGAACCTTTGGGCTCACTTGAGGTCATGAGGACTGCCCGTCTAAAGCCGTGCTATGTTGGCACCCTGGTGAAAAGCAAGTTTACCTCAGCGAAGGCTCCCCTGCCACTCCGGCAGGGCAGAGCCAACGCTGTGAGCCTTGTCGGATGGAAGCTCAGCCCAGGGCAGCCCGGCTGCTCCAGGTGCTCCTTCCAGGAAGGCCAGCCTGGGCTGGTTGCTGCAGAGCAGAGCGGCCCTTCGTGGGGCTTCTTCTGCCAAGCCACAAGCCCAGGTGGAAGGTGTCCATCCCCACCCGCTGATCCTGCATGGGCCGCCGGTGACAGCTCCGTTGTAGGTTGCTCCATTGTGAGCAGGAGTTGGAACTGCTCCGAGCGAGCTGGCAGCCAGAGGGCTGCCGTGCTGCTCCTGGAGAACCTCTCCTCGTGTTGCGTGTTTCACAATACGTGAACAAGCAGCAACAGGTGGAAGACCGTCAGGAGGAGATCCTCCCTGGAACGGAGGAGAAATTTCCTGGCGGGGAGAAGGATTAATGAATAGAACAGCTTCCCTGCAGAGGTTGTGGGTGCCCCTCCATCATTAGAAAAGATTGGACAGCCATTTGCCTGGGATGCAGTAAAGTCTCCTGCCTTGGGCAAGGGTTGGACTAGAACAGTGTTTCCCAAACTTGACAATTTTAAGGCATGTGGACTTCAACTCCCAGAATTCCACAGCCAGCATTGCTGGCTGTGGAATTCTGGGAGTTGAAGTCCACATGCCTTAAAATTGTCAAGTTTGGGAAACACTGGACTAGAAGACCTCTCAAGGTCCCTTCCGGCTCTCTGGTTCCATGTTCTAGAAAAGCAGGTTGCACCCCAAAAATCAGGGCTTTCCAGCCCTGTGACGGGTGGGAACCGGATCTAGAAGGTCCCTGTCCCTCTGCTGATAGCCCACCCCCACGAGGGACCCTTCCCCTGCATGGTGGAAGAACCTGCACGATGGCCTGTCTTGGCTTCTGATCGGAAGGGAAGATGATGCCACTTGGTGGATTCCTGGCCCAGCCCTGAGCAAGCTTTGGAAACGGTCCTGGAGATGCAGGAGATCCTGAAGACATGCTCCAGCAGGTCCGCCCTCCTTCCTCAGCACTTGCTCCAACAACATTCCTGTCGTGCGTCGCTTGGTCTCCATATTCGGCCTAGCCTCTGTTTACCTCGTCAGAGTGCTGCAGATTTGGCCTGTGTTTGCACAGAGGTTGCTGTCTGAGAATCCCATTGTGGGTCACCAGCAGTGGATCCCCACCACTGGATCCTTTTTAAGGCCTGAAGACTCCCCGGGGGCTTTTGCTCCCCCTCCGTGAAAAAAAAAAATCCTGCTTATCCTTCTGCTGTTTTACTCAAGGAAGCTGCCAGCTCATGCCAGCGATAAGGCAATTATCCTGCTTGATTAAGAACAATAAGGCTGAATGAAGAACAAATAACTCCTTAATACTTGGTGCAAAGATTGAGTATTGCTACCTATTGCCAAAAAAGAACAGTCTTGGGGCCAGGGGTAGGCCACCTGGGCTCTTTTATGACTCGTGGACTTCAACTCCCAGAATTCCTGAGCCAGCTTGGCTGGCTCAGGAATTCTGGGAGTTGAAGTCCACGAGTCATAAAAGAGCCAAGATGGCGTACCCCTGGGACTCTTGGCTATGCTTTTTTCTTTTTTTTCATTTTGAGAAGACCAGCTCCTTCCTTTCTTTATGCATAGATTTTTATCTTGCTGCAAACTGAAAACATTCCTAATCTCTTTCTAAACCGCATTTTGGGCTACTTCCAGACCGATGGCTGTAAGTTTGTTTATTAAATTTATTTGCCACCCGTCTCTCTGCAAGAAGTCCAGGGAGATATTCCTTACTGGTTGACATCGGTGCGGCTTTCTAACTTCTTGAGAGCCTTGGCCAAAATTCATGGACAGTACGGCCTCTTGAGTTGCTGTTGCTGGTTTTAACTAAAAGCCAAAAGGACACCCTAAAAATCCGCTCTTGGAGCTGCATGTCTGAAGAGGGCTTGGAAATCACGGCCAGGACTCAGGGTGACGTCTCTGCCGGAGACACTTGGAACAATCAACCAGTGGAACCACCTGCCTCCAGAAGCGGTGAATGCTCCAACACTGGAAGTCTTTAAGAAGAGACTGGACAGCCATTTGTCCGAAATGGTATAGGGTTTCCTGCCTGAGCAGGGGGTTGGACTAGATGACCTCCAAGGTCCCTTCCAACTTTATTATTATTATTATTGTGGATCATCGCACAGTCAGCCAGATGTTCAGACTGGATTTGGCATTTTGTCTACCTATCGAGTCCTTACCCAGGACCTGGGATAGGCAGATGTGGATGTTTGATAGTATTACAGGTATCGTCGCAGGATGGAAGCAGTTCCTAGTAAGGCCGCCTTTTGCAATTGACTAAAGGCGAATTTGTCAATGCCAATGGTGTTCAAGTGGTGCTCCAGTTGTTTTGGGATTGCACCCAAGGCACCTATTACTATTGGTACTACCCTTGCTTGCTTTTGCCACAGTCTTTCTATTTCTCTTTGTAGGTCTTTGTATTTTGTTATCTTCTCCAGTTCTTTCTCTTCTATTTTGCTATCTCCAGGCACTGCCACATCCACTATCCAGACTTTTTTGTCTTCTTATCGACAATTGTTAAGTCTGGGGTGTTATGTTGCAGGTGCTTGTCTGTTTGAATTCTGAAGTCCCAGAGCAGTTTAATTTTATCACTTTCTATGACTTTCTCTATTTTATGATCCCACCAGTTTTTGCTTACAGGCAAATGATATTTTTTGCAGATCTTCCAATGCACCATTGTTCTATTTTGTCATGCCGCTGCTTGTAGTCAGTCTGTGCAATCTTCTTTCAACAGCATACCAAGTGGTCCACTGTTTCTTCAGCTTCTTTGCATAGGCGGCACTTACTGTCTGTTGCTGTCTTCTCAATTTTGACTTTATATGCATTTGTCCTTAAGGCTTGGTCTTGTGCAGCTAGAATTAGTCCCTCGGTCTCTTTCTTCAATTTTCCTGCTCTTAGCCATTGCCAGGTCTTGTTATTATCTGCTTTCCCAGCTATTTTTTTAATGTATTGGCCATGTAGTGCTTTGTCTTCCCATGCCTCTATTCTGTTCTTCATTTGGTCTTTCTTGTAGGCCAGTTTGGTCTCTCCAGTAGTCAGTAAGCCTTCCTGATATACTAATTTCAGTGCATCTTCATCATTGTTCTTCAGATATTCTTCCAAAGCCATTTTTTCTTCTTCAACCATCTGATGTACTTGTAGCATTCCACGCCCACCTATTTGCCTTGGTAGATAAAGTCTATCAATGTCACTGCGTGGATGAAGGGCATGATTCATTGTCATTATTTTTCTGGTCTTCCTATCCATTGCTTTTAGTTCTGCTTGAGTCCAGTCCACTATTCCAGCTGTGTACCTAATGACTGGATTGCCCAGGTGTTGATTGCCTTTATGGTATTTCCTCCATTGAGTTTGGACTTTAAGATCTTCTTCACTCTCTTGATGTATTCACCTCTAATCTTTTTCTTGACTTCAGTGTGCTTGATGTTGTCAGCTTGAATTATTATTATTATTATTATTATTATTATTATTATTATTATTATTGATCATCGCACAGTCAGCCAGATGTTCAGACTGGATTTGGCATTTCGTCTACCTATCAAGTCCTTACCCAGGACCTGGGATAGGCAGATGTGGATGTTTGATGGTATTACAGATATCGTCGCAGGATGGAAGCAGTTCCTAGTAAGGCCGCCTTTTGCAATTGACTAATAGCGAACTTGTCAATGCCAATTGTGTTCAAGTGGTGCTCCAGTTGTTTTGGGATTGCAACCAAGGCGCCTATGACTATTGGTACTACCCTTGCTTGCTTTTGCCACAGTCTTTCTATTTCTATTTGTAGGTCTTTGTATTTTGTTATCTTCTCCAGTTCTTTCTCTTCTATTATTATTATTATTATTATTATTATTATTATTATTATTATTATTATTATTATTATTATTGAGCAGGAGGGGGTTTGGCCACTTCCAAAAACTATGAAGGATTTTGACAGAAGGGTTTGGGGTAAAAGATACTTATTTATTTACACTTCATATTTCTCAACCGCCCATCTCCCTCGGAGAGAGACCCTGGGCAGCGTACAACACAATCAATAAATTAAACTTTAAAATCAGAATAATTTAGGGATTACAAAAAAATTAAAGCGTAAAATCACATTATGAAAGTTACAAAAGGTGAAAGAGTTCCTACACGGTGGATCATCAGTTGTTAATACAGGCAGTGTGGGGGGGAGCGGAGGGGGAGTCACGAGGCAAGCCAACCCCATGGCTGTGTGGGCCCATGTGCCCCGCCACGCAAGGCTACACAGCCAAGTGCTCCAACAATGGAAGTTGTCAAGAAGAGACTGGACAGACGTCGGTCTGAAATGGAATAGGGTTTCCTGCCTGAGTGGGGGGTTGGACTAGAAGACCTCCAAGGTCCCTTCCAGCTCTTGTAATGCAGTTAAGTTGGTTAGATCTTTGGTGCTGCAGAGAAAGGAGGGTGGTCTTCACCCCTACCAGGGTAGATGCTGATTCTGCCCACCCGTCCTGAGCCATTCGGACGTCTGCCTTGAGAGCGAGGGGGCTTCTGGGTGGGGGAGAACCCCTCCCCTTCCCTGGGGTCTGGAAGCCAGCAGGAGGTGGGCCTCCAGATCAGATCAAAGCGGGCCGAGCAGAGGCAGGAGAGAGCGGGGCCGGCCTCCTTGTTGAAGCTCTTCCACCTCTGCTTCCCCAGTGACCCGTCACAACCACTTGAAAGACTTCATGCTGGTGGTCTCCATCGTGATCGGAGTAGGAGGCTGCTGGTTTGCTTACATCCAGAACCGCTACTCCAAGGAGCACATGAAGAAGATGATGAAGGACCTGGAAGGTCTGCACAGGGCCGAGCAGAGTCTCCACGACCTCCAGGAAAGGTGGGTTGGCCGGCTCCTCCTTCCAGCTGGAACCTGGGTGAGGACAACGGCTGCCCAATCTGCTCCTTCCTTCCTTCCTTCCTTCCTTCCTTCCTTCCTTCCTTCCTTCCTCGCTCGGTGCGCTTGGGTGAAGCCTGCATGCGCTTCAGCTCCCTTGAGAAATGCTGGATGAATTCCCCGCAGGGTGAGTGTGGTGGGCCTCCACGGGGCTCCTCCTTGTATGTCAGGGAGTTGGTTGCCCCCGGCCCAGTTCTTGTTTCAGTTGGACGTGCTCTGGCATGTCCGGAGAGACAGGAGGATCTGGACAGACTTGAACACTGGGCGCTATCTAACAAAATGAAATTCAATGGTGAAAAAAGGAAGGTTCTACATTTAGGCAAGAAAAACCAAATGTACAGGTAGAGTATAGGGGGTACCTTGCTCAATAGTATCAACTGTGAGAGGGACCTCGGAGTCCTAGTGGACAATCCCTTAAATAGGAGCCAGCTGTGGGCTGCAGCTGCCAAAAAGGCCAACACAGTGCTGGGCTGCATTAACAGAGTGATAGAATCAAGATCACGTGAAGGGTTAATACCACTTTACAAGGCCTTGGTGAGGCCACACCTGGAATGCTGCATCCAGTTTTGGTCACCTCGATGTAAAAAAGATGTTGAGACTCTAGAAAAAGAGTACAGAGAAGAGCAACAAAGATGATTAGGGGACTGGAGGCTAAAACATATAAGGAAAAGCTGCTGGAATTGGGTATGTCTAGTTCAATGAAGAGAAGGACGAGGGGGGACAGGATAGCAGCCTTCCAGTATCTCAGGAGCTGCCCCAAAGAAGAGGGAGTCAAGCTGTTCTCCAAAGCCCCTGAAGGCAGGACAAGAAGCAACGGATGGAAACTCATCAAGGAGAGAAGCAATCTGGAACTAAGGAGAAACTTCCTGACAGTTAGAACAATTAACCAGGGGAACAGCTTGCCTCCAGAAGCAGTAAATGCTCCAACCCTGGAAGTTTTTAAGAAGAGACTGGACAGCCATTTGTCCGAAATGGTGTAGGGTTACCTGCCTGAGCAGGGGGTTGCACTAGATGACCTTCAAGGTCCCTTCCAACTTTACTACTATTATTATTATGTCCCCAAGAGGTGCTGCCGAAGGAGACGTGATCCAGTAACAGGAGAGAAAGCCTCTTTGGCAGAAAGGGAGGTGGCTGAAACGAGCTCCTTGCTCTCTTCTCCCTGTCATCCCCGCCTGCCCCAGATCCCCCCCCCCGTGAGGTTCTCCCCCCAGACCCTCCTGCGAGAGGAGGTGGGCCCTGAACCCAAACGAAGGAGGTTCCGGAAGATCTCCAGAGGAATCCCGGGACGCTCCCGCCCTGCCCTCCTTCCTGCTTTGCCCTTGCTCTCCTCTGGGTCTCCTCTCCAGCTCCTCTGCTGCGTTTCGGCCGCGGCTGCTGCTCCTCCGCAAGGCCTCCTGGGCTCCGTCCCTCCCGGCCGCGCTCGGCCCTGCTCTTGCTCGGCTGGGCCCTCCCCGCCCCAGGGCCCATCGTCCCCCGCCTCTTTCCCAGGCTGCAGAAGGCGCAGGAGGAGCACCGCACGGTGGAGGTGGAGAAGGTCTCCCTGGAGAAGAGGCTGCAGGACGAGATCAGCATCGCCAAGCAAGAGGCGCATCGGCTGCGGGAGCTGCGCGAAGGGACGGAGAACGAGCTCAGCCGGCAGAAATACGCCGAGCAGGAGCTGGAGCAGGTACGTCTGGTGGAGGGGGGCAGCCCCTACTAGGGACCTGGGGTCCTTGGCGCCTTCCGAGCTGGGTGCTTTTCTTGCAGAGGTTTCATGACCCCACGAGGGAATGTCATCAATGCTGCTGCTGCTAATCATAGCACTGATGATGTTCCCTAGTCGGGTCATGAAACGTCTGCAAGCAGCCAGGCTCAAAGGGCACCCAGGACCCCCCAGGTCAGCCCTCAGCACAGGAGACTCTCTTTTTAGGAGAAGGTCTGTCCAGTCGGATGGACTGACATCCTGATTGCACTCCTGTTCACTCCTCCTCCTTGCTAACCCTCCTCCCTTCCAGCACTGATGATGTTACGTAGTCAGGTCATGAAATGTCTGCAAGAAAACTGCCAAGCTCAGAGAGCATCAAAAGTTCTCCTTCTCTCCCAACCCCTCCTCTTTTTTTCCCTCCTCCTCCCCTTCCCCCCACCCCACTAACCCTCCTGCCTTCTAGCACTGATGTTGTTCCCTAGTTGGGTCATGAAACGTCTGCAGGAAAACCACCCAGCTCAGAGAGCGCCCAGGACTTCATAGTCTTTCCTTCCTTCCTTCCTTCCTTCCTTCCTTCCTTCCTTCCTTCCTTCCTTCCTTCCTTCCTTCCTTCCTTCCTTCCTTCCTTCCTTCCTCTTTCCTTCCTTCCTTCCTTCCTTCCTTCCTTCCAGCACTGATGATGTTTCCTAGTTGGGTCATGAAACGTCTGCAAGAAAACCACCAAGCTCAGAGAGCACCAAGGACCCCACAATCAATCTATCTATCTATCTATCTATCTATCTATCTATCTATCTATCTATCTATCTATCTATCTTCCCTCCCTCCCTCCCTCCCTCCCTTCCTTCCTTCCTTCCTTCCTTCCTTCCTTCCTTCCTTCCTTCCTTCCTTCCTTCCTTCCTTCCTTCCTTCCAGCACTGATAATGTTTCCTAGTTGGGTAATGAAACGTCTGCAGGAAAAGTGCCCAGCTCAGAGAGCACTAAGGACAGTTCAGACATTCTCTTCTCTTGGCACCTGACCTTCCTGCTTCTAGAAGGTTCTCCCTCTCTTGCCACCTGTAAGACTGGCCCCGGCCCTCAGCTTTCTTTAGGTCTGCGTGGCTCCTTTGACTCCCCCCCCATTGCAAGGGGGAAAGCCAGTATGATCTCCTGAGTGCTGCTATTGCCACCTCCCGGGGTTTTGCCCAGAGGAGACCCCCCCTCCACCCTCTGATGCCCCCCGGGGGCCCTTGTGCTGATCCTACCCTCTCCCCCCCCCCAGGTCCGCATGGCCCTCCGGAACGCCGAGAAGGAGCTGGAGTCGCACAGCAGCTGGGCGGCCCCCGGGGCCCTCCAGAAGTGGCTGCAGCTGACCCACGAGGTGGAGGTGCAGTACTACAACGTCAAGAAGCAGAACGCGGAGAGGCAGCTGCTCCTGGCCAAAGAGGGGGTGAGTGCCGGGGGGCGCTCTTGAGACTCCCCCCCCTCCACATCCCACCCCAAGCAGCCGTACCCAGCGGGGGTCCCCAGCCTCCGTGACGACTCGTGGATTTCAACTCCCAGGATTCCTCGGCCAGCCGTGCTAGTCGTCCACGGCTAGCCGAGAAATTCTGGGAGTTGAAGTCCACGAGTCATCAAGTGGCCACGGAGGCTGGGGACCCCCGATATATAGGCGGTCCTCAACGTACAACCACAACTGAGACGAGAATTACTGTGGTTCACTGAGGCAGTTGTTCAGCAACTGATTTTATACCTTTTCTGCTGTGGTGGTTAATTGAATCTGATCAGCTCAGGGGGTCGTTCAGGTTCCTGGCGCCTGAAATTTGTCTGGAATGGTCTAGTGTTTCTCAACCGTGACCATTTTAAGGCATGTGGACTTCAACTCCCAGCCAGCATCGCTGGCAGTGGAATTCTGGGAGTTGAAGTCCACATACCTTAAAATGGTCAAGGTTGAGAAACACTGGTCTAGGGTTTTCCTGCCTTAACGGGGTTGGACTAGATGACCCCCAAGGTCCGTTCCAACTTTATTATTGTTGTTGTTATTAAATGGACTCAGAACTGGGTGACCGGAGGCCGTGGGGCGCAGGGGTGCTGCCTCTTGGGTTATTACCATCAGCCTCCGGAAGTCGTGGGCCTCCATCCCTGGAGGCGTTTTCAGAAGAGATCAGACCGGCCCCCGTTTGGGGTGGTGGAGGGTCTTCTGCCCGAGCAAGGGGTTGGACTAGAGGACCTCCCGGGCCCCTTCCAGCTCCATTCTGACGGATTGACGGAAGGCAGACTTCCCAGCAGATCCCTCTGCAGCCGGTCATGGGGAGGGGGGCGGGGATGGGGGACGTTTGGCCCCACTGTTTGAGTTGTGACGTTGCCCGATGCGCTCTCCATCCTCTCCTCCAGGCTGAGAAGATCAAAAAGAAGCGCAACACACTCTTTGGCACCTTCCACGTGGCCCACAGCTCCTCCCTGGACGACGTGGATCACAAGATCTTGACGGCCAAGTGAGTTTGTGCTGCGGATCATTCCCCCCCCCCCAGGGAGCCATGGCGGTGGGGGCGTGGCCTGCTCGGTGGGGGAGCCCAGGGAGGGACCCCCACTCACCTGTCAGGCTGTGACCCCCAAGGCAGCGGCAGCGACGCTTGGAGGGGGGAAGGGGAGACGGGCTTTATGAAGTTTGCCATGTTACTAAGCGAATCATTGCGACTGTTAAGTGAATCATGTGGTTGTTAAGCGAATCATCGACTTTGCTTGTGGGGAGCAGCCGGCAAAGTTGCCAGGAGCGGCCACGGGACTCTGGGAGGCTGCCACCGTCTTAAATATCGGTAGTCCTCGGCTTACGACCACAATTGGGCCCCAAATTTTTTGTTGCTAAGTTGTTCCATGAGTTTTGCCCAATTTTATGACATCGGTACATGTCAGTTGCCAGTTGTGATCAATGTCCATGGGATGCTGCAACGGTCGTAAGTGTGGGGACTGGTCCTGAGTCACTTTTTTCAGTGCCCTAGTAACTTCAAACAGTCACTGAACAGATGCTTGTAAGTCGAGGACGACCTGTAGTGTTGCCTGGGGGGGGTGCAGGACCCCACGGCGGTTGTGCTGGCAGGCCTGGACTCTTCCCCCCCCCCCAGTCCAGCCCTTGTCTTGATCCCACTGAGCCCCCCCCCCAATACAAGATACCTGAGATGCAGATAACTTGGTTGTTAACATCTCACGATTGATGTTGATGGCTTTTATTTAGTATCCTGTGACGATCCCTGAATGCTGAATCTTTTGGTTTAGGATGATTCTGTTTTATGACGATTATGATCACGATTTATCACTTGCCCTTTATACGTACACTGAGAGCTTCTGCACCAGAGGGAAATTCCTTGTGTGTCCAACAAAGAAATTAATTTCTATATTCCATATTCTATTTCTACTTCTATTGTATATTCCATATTCTATATTATTCCACATTCCATAGTCTATATTCTATATTATTCTATATTTTATGTTCTATATTATTCTATAGTCTCTGAAATTTCATTTTAATGTATGCTGATAAGTGTATATTCACAGTAACAATAAAGTTATTATTCTAGTCTATTCTGTATTTCTATTCTATTCTATTCTATTCTATTCTATTCTATTTTATATTTCTTTTCTACGCTATTCTGTATTTCTGTTCTATTCTGTATTTTTATTCTATTCTGTTCTATATTCTATTCTATTCTATTCTATATTCTCTTCTATATTCTATTTTGTTCTATTCTATTTTCTGTTCTATTCTGTTCTGTATTTCTATTCTGTTCTATATTTCTGTTCTGTTCTTTTCTATATTTCTATTCTATTCTATTCTATTCTATTCTGTAATGTATTCTATTGTATTCTATTCTATTTTATTCTATTCTGTATTTCTATTCTATTCTCTATATTCTATTCTATTCTGTATTATGTATTCTATTCTTTTTTATTCTATTCTTAATTCTATTCTATTCTTATTTCTATTCTATTCTATTCTTATTTTAATTCTATTCCATATTTTCTATTCCTATTCTATTCTATTCTATTCTATTCTATTCTATTCTTATTTTAATTCTATTCCATATATTCTATTCTATCCTATCCTATCCTATCCTATCCTATCCTATCCTATTCTCTATTCCATATTGTCTATTCTATTCTATTCTATTCTATTCTTATTTTAATTCTATTCCATATTTTCTATTCTATTCTATTCTTATTTTAATTCTATTCCATATTTTCTATTCTATTCTATTCTATTCTATTCTATTCTTATTTTAATTCTATTCCATATATTCTATTCTATTCTATCCTATCCTATCCTATCCTATCCTATCCTATTCTCTATTCCATATTGTCTGTTCTATTCTATTCTATTCTATTCTTATTTTAATTCTATTCCATATTTTCTATTCTATTCTATTCTTATTTTAATTCTATTCCATATTTTCTATTCTATTCTATTCTATTCTATTCTATTCTATTCTATTCTATTCTATTCTGTATTTCTATTCTATTCTACTTTCTAGTCCCCTTACTCTCCTCTCCTCCCTTTCTCTCCAGGCAGGCGCTGAGCGAGGTGACGGCCGCCTTGAGGGAGCGGCTGCACCGCTGGCAGCAGATTGAGCTGCTCTGCGGCTTCCAGATCGTCAACAACCCCGGCATTCCCACGCTGCTGACAGCCCTCAACATCGACCCCAGCTGGATGGGGGGCCCACCCAGGGCCAACACCTCCCACTTCATCATGACTGACGACGTGGATGACCTGGACGAAGAGATGGTCTCCCCCATGTCCATGCAGTGTAGGTGGAGGCAGGGAGGGCCCAGCTGGGGACAGGCGGGCCTCGGTTTCCCCTTGGCAGGGATGCCCCCCCCCTTTGGGTCACTCTCCTGGACCCCCCCCCAGGAGCCAGTCACACACACACACACAGAGTCCATCCCCATCTTCAGTGGAGGAGGCTTCAGAAGGTTTATGGGTAGTCCTCAACTTACGACCACAGTTGAGCCCAACATTTCTGTGGCTATACGAGACAATTGCTCAGTGAATTTTGCCCCATTTCATGACCTTTCTTGCCCCGGTCGTTAAGCGAATCACTGTAATTGTGAAGTTAGTGACACAGTTGTTAAGTGAATCTTGGCTTCTCTGTTGACTTTGCCGGTCAGAAAGTCACAAAAGGGGATCGATCCTGTCAGCCTGCGACCGTCATAAGTATGAACCAGTGGCCAAGCTCCTGAATTTGGATCACGTGACCACGGAGGGCTGCCACGGTTGCTAAGTGTAAAAAAAAAGGCCATAAGTCAGTGATGTTGTAGCTTTGAACAATCACTGAGTGAACTGTTGCAAGCTGAGGACTGCCTGTCCTCTGTCTCAACTCTGAGAAAATCAGCGGATGAGCAGGCCTTCGCTCTCTTGTGCTTAACCCCAGCAGTGCCTCTGAGCATCCACAGAGTGCTTTTCTCAGTTCAGTTGGGCACCTGCGAGAGGACGCAGAGGGGAGGGAGCGGCAAGTTGGGAGGTCTCGGGGTACAGGCGAGGCTGGGTGCCCTAAGCCGAGCCCCCCCCCCGGCCCTTTGCGTCTGTCCTGGGGGGGGGTGGGAAGGCCCCCCCGGAAAGAAGCCAAGGGGGGGGGCGGAGGGGGAAGCCCTGACTGAGATCCTGAGCTGGGAAGGGCCCACATTCCCTCGAGGGTCTGGGCTTGGGGGGGGGCAGGAAGGACCAGGCAGAGACCCCCACGGAGGGGGATCTGGTCGCTGAGCGTCCTGGGGAGCCCCCACGGAGCCCCGAACGGCCGATGCCAATGACGCTTTCTCTCTCCCGGCCTGCCCTCCTCGCTAACGCCAGACGTCGCCTCGCTTCTGGGGCACCAGTACGGAGACCGCTCATCTCTCTGCCTGGAGGACCCGGCCTTCTGGAAGTGCCCCGGTTTGAGCCGCCTTCGTCTCTCGGATTCGCTTTCACCCGCCGAACTAAACTCTGCCGGCCGAGCCCCTCGGCCTGCCTGCCCCCCCCAGGGGCTCCCCCTGTCTCGCACAGCCGCTAATCCTCACACACACACGCCCCCCCTCTGCCCTCACCGCTTTTCTCTCTCTCTCTCTCTCTGCTAACCCCTTCCGGATCGGAAGGAAGGAAGAACCGCTGGCTGGCGGGCAGAAGCCCTGAGAGCGAGCCGGAGGGCCGGGCTGGGGCAGGACGGTGGGCGGGCAGGGGTCTTCCCAAGACAGGCGGCCCTATTCACTTGATTTCTTTTGCCAGGAGAAGGCAGGCAGAGAACGTGGACACACACACACACACACACACACACACACACACACACACACACACACACACATCCTCCCTTCCTGGCAGGAGAAGGCAGGCAGAGAACGTGGACACACACACACACACACACACACACACACACACACACATCCTCCCTTCCTGGTTTCCTTGCCTTTAGAGCAGGGGTCTCCATCCTTGGCAACTTGAAGACTTCTGGACTTCAACTCCCAGAATTCCCTAGTTCCAACCCGCTCCGGGGTGCCCAGGCCAATCCTATCTCTGCAGGGAGGATGTTTTAATAGAAAGGGAGCCCCCACAGGGAAGGCCCCTCTTGTTCCCATCGGGTGGACCTCCTTAAAGAGGAGGGGCCCCTAACATCTGCCTGCCTGCCTGCCCAGGTGGGTCAGGTGGAGGCAACTGGGAAAAGACGCTCCTTCAAGCGACAGGGAGGGAGCCACCACGGAGAAGGCCCTTCTTCCTGGTCCCGCCAGGTGGACCTCCTCCGTTCGTTGCCAGCACATTTTTCCACTCCAGAATATCCCCCTTTCCGGGAAAGAGGTGCAGGAGGGCCCCGAGACTTTGTCCACCCCAGAGACCAGCATTGGGGGAGGGGCGCTCCGAAGGGAAGAGGGCTGGGGTGGGTGGGGGGAGACGGGGCCGAAGGGCTCTCCCAGCCGGCTGCTTCCTGGTTCTTCGCTTCCCAGCAGGGCCCTGATTCTTCCTCGTCTCTTTGGTAACCCCTTTGCACCCCCCTTTGGGCACCACCCTGGGCACTTCCCTGGGCACCGTGGGGCTGGGGCCAGTCGTTGACGGGCAGCTGGGTGGCAGATTCACTGTCTTGCGTGCTTCGGCCAGGATTTGGGAACGCTCACCTCGCCCTCCTTTGGCTGCACCACAGGGACAAGAAACAGGGAGGGCTGGGGGGAGAGGAAAGCCAGACAGCCACTGCTCCCCCCTTCACCCCCATCCTCCCTCCTTCCCTCTACCCCCTCCCTCCCTCCCTCCCTCCGTAGCGCCCTCCCTCCCTCCCTAACTGGGCCTTCTTTCCTTCCAGCTCCCGCCTTGCCAAGCAGCGTCGTTCGCCAGCGCCTGGTGGACCCCCAGCATTCCTTGGGATCGCAGAGGTTGGTAGAGGGTCACCCGCAGGCCCCCAGCCAGGGGGAACCGGGACCGCTGGTGCATTACCTGCCTGGCAGGGTCACTCTGCGCCGAATGCCCAGCCTCTCCAGCGGCAGCAGCGTCGACGTCCCGGGAGCTCCTCCTCCGTACTCCTCCTCTTCCTCCTCCTCCTCAGCCGGCCACGGAGCGCCCCCCGCTCCCACCTGCCACGGGCTGCCCATCCTGTACCACCACACCACCTCCTCCTACATCCTGCAGATGGACACCCTGCCCGACCTGCCCCCTCCCGACGTCACCTCGGGCACGCACGGCCAGGCGGAGAGCTTGGGGTACCGTCCTGCCCGCTCGGCCTGGGCACCTGCCCCCTCCTCTAACCTCTGGCTTGCTGCTGGCAGCAGCTGCACGGGGTGTGGTGCCTGCTGTGACTTCCCGTGAAGCCCACTAACTGCATTGTGAGATCTCTCGGCCCTGGGTTGGAGTGTGGCTGCGTTTGCTGTGTGCTCGAAGCGCTGGGTGGCTGCCGTCCACCGGTCTGTGTGGCCCGGCTTCCGCTGAGGCAGCTCAGCCGTTCGCCTGGGCCGGCTGCCCGGGAGGACAGCAGCAGCTCTTAGACTTATATGCCTCCCCGCAGGCCTTGAGCGTACTCTTCTGTACGACGGCGTTATTTGCATACAGGTAGTCCTCGACTTACAACGGTTCATTTAGTAACTGTTCAAAGTTGCAGCAGTACTGAAAAAAAGGACTCGTGACCGTTTTTCATTTTACAACCGTTGCAGCATCCCTGTGGTCACGGGGTCAGAATTCAGACGCTCAGCAACCGACCCGTAATTCATGATGGTCACAGTGCCCCGCCTGGGGGGTCACGTTATCCCTTTTTGCGACAAGCAAACTTAATGGGGGAGCCAGATTCGATTAACGACCGTGTTACCAACTTAACAGCTGCAGTGATTCGCTTAACAACGGTGGCAAGAAAGGGGCATAACCCACTTAGCAACTGTCTTGCTTAGAAACAGGAATTTTAGGCTCAACTGTAGTCGTAAGTCGAGGACTACCTGCATTGCCCCCAACAACCTGGGTCTTCATTTTACTGACCTGGAAAGGACAGAAGGCTGAGTCAGTCTTGATCCCCATCAGGCTCGAATTCCTGGCTATGGGCAGAGCCAGCCTGCAATGCTGCACTCTAACCACTAGGAGGAGACCCTCTGGCCCCTGGAGGGCAGGACGAGGCCAGGAGCACTTCGATGTGCCCAGGGAGGACAAGGCCTGTTTCCGGGCACAACCCCCAGCCCGAGCCTTGGCTCCCCTCTGCTGGGGAGGTGCAAGAGGCCCTTCCGGAGCATCTCCAGTAGCGCCCCATCACGTTGGACCCCGAGGGGCCTGCAAATGGCTGCCGCGTTCCCTGCCCTCGATCTGCAGGCAGATGCACTGCAGCCTGGGCTGCACCCCACCCCCTCTGGAAGGGGGAAACACCCCTCCCGTCCAGAGACTCTTTTCCCCCCCAGGACTTTCATGGTGGGACTCGGAGTGGGATTTAAAGCCCTTCATGGCATAGGGCCAGGTTACTTACAGGACCGTATATTGCCGCACAGTTCCCAGAGACCGGTGAGGTCCCACAGATTGGGCCTCCTTCAGGTCCCGTTGGCCAGACAATGTCGGCTGGCGGGCCCCCGGGGAAGGGCCTTTTCTGTGGTGGCTCCGACGTGGTGGAATCCACTTCCCCCCCCGAGGTTCGAACTACTCCCACCCTGCCGGCCTTTAAGAAGGCCGTTAAAACTCTCCTGTTCCGGCAGGCCTGGGGCTGATGTCCCCGGGGGGGGGGGGGCGGGATACGATTGGACATGCTGTATGAATGTACTTATTTTACTGTTTTATTGTTATATTTATTGTTTTAATTTTGTGCACCGCCCTGAGTCCCTTGGGATTGGGCGGCATATAAATGTTAGAAATAAATAAATAAATTTTGCAGGGTCTGGAAGAATTGTGGGACCCCCCCCCGATGCCACCTGGGTGGAGGAAAGGGAGCCAGCCCTCCCCCTCCCCACCCACCTGCCTCTATGCATCTGCCTACGGGGGGGGTCTTTGAGGGTGGCATGGGGGAAGCTGCTTGCAGACCCAGAGGCACTAGGGTCTGCAAGGAAGGAACTGGGGATGTTGGGAGGCAGCCGCTTCCTGCATGCGAGGGCCTGGGTTGGGGGTCCTTCCAGGCCCACAGACTCACCTCTTCTCATCTGCCCCCCTCTCCAGGGACCTGGTCCACTCGGATTCGGACTCCTCCATCCCGTACCTGAGTGACCATCCGCGGGCGGCCATTTCCATGCCCAAGTTGCGGCCTGGCCTGCTGAACAAGCCAGCTGAGGAACAGCAGCACCAAACGGAGCCCGGCGAGTCGGAGAGCCCGCTGACGATGAAGAAGGTGCCGGTGCTGAACCACCACGGGGGGCTGGAGAAGGCGGCCAGCCTGGGGGAGCTGGGCCCGGTGGGAGCCCGTTCGAGGGACTCCTCTCGGTCACACAGCCCCACCTCCACCGAGCCCGACACCCCCTCGCCGCCCGCCAACGGCCGCACCGCGCTCTCCCTCCTGTCCGGCAAGGCGAACAGCCGCATCCCACACCTGGCGGCCAAGAAGACGGGCACGGCAGGCGAGGAGGACAGTGGCTCCACCGGCGAGGAGACCGACTCAGGCCCCGGGAAGAAGAAGTTCCCGCTGAAGATTTTCAAGAAGCCCCGGAAGTAGCTGGCGGACGGGGAAGGACCGGGCAAGGCGCCCTGTGCTGTCCTCCACCGGAGCAGATTCGCCCCCTGCTGACACAGAGACGCTCTTGGCTGGGGGGGCCTCCTGGGGCCAGAGTGCCCTGCTTGACTGCGCATGGCTTGCACCCGCTGCCCCCCTTCTGCTCGCCGCTCTCCTCCGGGCGGCTGGAGCAGGGTAACCTCGACAGGCGCCCCTGGACCGCAGCCGCCCCTCTGGAGCAGAACCAAAGCTTTGCGGCTCTCGTGGCTGGTCGGTGCAGCCGGGTAGAGGATGGCGGCGCATCGGGCTCCTGGCTGCCTCGTGGACCAGCCAGAGTGGCCGTGCGGAAGCCCCTCTCGCTGGGTCTCAGGGCAAGGAGGAAGGCGGCCGTCTGGCCAGCAAGGCGGCTGCAGGGGGGGGCAGCTCTTTGGGCCAGCCAGCTGCTTTTTGTAAAACTGTTTTGAATCTAATAAAGCATGTAGACTATTTTAATAAGTTCGACCGTGTGGTGTCCTTCTGGGATGGCTGCGGGGGCGGCCAGAAGCGCTGTTGGCCCAACCAGGCGATGGCCTTTCTTTCCTCTTAAGGGCCTGGGGGTGTTTTCCTAGGCAACAATCCTGCCTTCTTGGCCGGCGGAGCTCTCTGCCACTGGCCAGAAGGTCCCAGGCCAAAGAGCCCAGATTCCCCGGCAGGGAGGCCAGCCTGGGGACACGACATGCAGCACACGCAACGGCTCCTTGTCCTTTCCATGTAGGCACAACAGGTTTATTTGTCTGGTTTCCAGAAGGGTTTCTAAAAATGGTCTGACTTGGCTCGAGTTTGCGGTTCTCCCCACCACCCTTTACAGAGGGCCATTCTTTGGAAAGTCCCCTATGTGTGGGGAGGAGGGAGGACACACTTGGCAAGATTGTGTAGTATCTTTCTGTGCAGCCTGGGTGGGCGCCGGGAGCACCTGTAAGAAGACCCTCTAAATCAGCGGTTCTCAACCTGTGGGTGGGGACCCCATTTGGGGTCGAACGACCATTTCACGGGGGTCACCAAACAACGCAGTCCGCCATTTTTTTCCCCCTTTTCCTTAGCTGGGCTACTCCCTTTTATTCTATTGGCTTTTGAAAGCCAATAGAATAGACTCTCTTGAATAGAGTCTCATTCTATTGGCTTTCAAAAGCCAATAGGAATTGTCCAGGCTGTCTCTGCCCTGCTGAGCCCGCCAAAAGTCCCATTCTGCAAACGGTGCTGCACCAGTTGAGTAGTCCTCAACTTACGACTGGTTGGGGGTTGCGGCATTAAAAAGGTTGAGAACCACTGCTCTAGAAAAACGGTGTGTGTGTGTGTGTGTCTTTGTCCATCCAGGGGTTTCTGCCCAAAGGGTCTGTTGCCCACGTCCATTCCTGTCCCCGGTCTTTCTGTCACCCGGCTGGGGCCAGCAGGCAGATGTTGCCGCTTTGTCTGGGGCTGCGCCACAAGAGGCAGTGCGGGAGGCTGAGCCAGCCCAGGGCGGTGCTGGGAACCTCCTGCCGGGGTGGAAAGAAGGCTACCGTGAGCTGATTCCAAGGTAAGGCACCAAGCAGAGGGCGTACAGGGAGTCCTCAACTTACGATCATTTGTAAATAACCGAGCAGCACTGAAAAAAGTGACTCACGGCCGTTTTTCACACTTAGGACAGTTGCTGTGTCCCTATGGTCACGTGATGAAAATTCAGATACTTGGCAACTGGCATGTACTTAGGACGGTTGCCGTGTGATCCCCTTTTGCGACCTTCCGACCAGCAAAGTCCATGGGGGGAAGCCAGATCCACTTGTCAACCGTGTTCCTAACTTAACAACTGCAGTGATTCACTTAGCAACTGTGGCAAGAAAGGTTGTAAAATGGGGCAGGTCTCACTTTAACAACTGTCTTGCTTAGCAGCTGGCATTTTGGGCTCGATCGTGATCGTAAGTTGAGGACTTCCCATACTCTGGGCTGGGGAGGAGGACTGCCACAGGGCACAAAGCACCAGGGGCCTCTTTGGTTTCGGAGACGGGGCTAGCCCACCCTGGGAGGCTACCGCAGCCGGGAACAGCGCAGCAACCGCCCTGGCCCAGCCCCCAGGTTTCTCTTGTGGGGGGCGGACGTGGGAGCCCCAGCATCCTCAAGGCCAGCCCTCCCAGCCAGCAGCGGCAGCATCACTTCCGCAGCGTTGATCTGACTGCAGGCCCCTCCAAGGGATAGCAAAGGTGGCTGGTCAGGTCCAGGTCGTAAGTGGACGGGCACAGATGCCTCCTCCTGCGTTGGCCCCTGCAGAATCAGGCCTCGCTCCGATCTGGCAGTTGCCAACTGCCCGTGAAGTCGCTGTCTGTCAAGTTCACGGTGTAGGGAACGTCGATGACCTGGTGGGGCAGCTCACGGCCGCTTGCAGAACGCCAGGAGTTCAGAGGTCGGATGGCTTTCCTGAACCGCTGCAACGACAGGACAGGAGACTTGCTCGCTGGGCCAGATGCCCAACTGCCCACCTCCGCTATCAAGGGGATCGCCAGGAAAAGTCCCACGTGGATGTACACCAGGGGATTTCGGGAGAGGCGAGAGGGCGTGGGCTCTCCATACAGCCCGGACAGTGTGTCCGCTTCCCGGAAGCTGGCCCCATCCTGCGACCCACTGGGTGCTCTCCCCAACTCACAGCAACCAGTGTCCCGGATTCCTTGCAGAGGGCAATGCCAGCCCAAAGCGGAATCTGAATGCAGCTCAGCACCCCCATGCAGACACCCAGCGCCTGGCCCCAGCGCGGGAACCGGTATGCTCCGTAGTGCAGTGTGGTGCCTGACAGGTCCATGAAGATGTAGAGGAGAATGAACTGTGAAGGGAGCAGAGAGGACAAGGATGGCAAAGGGATGGGAGGACACCCCGTTGCTGCCCAGACTCTCCCCCTAAGAGCTGTGGGGGCAGGAAGACCGCAAAGCCCATGCCTGGCCTACCAGCAGCATGCCCGGCGTGAAGATCACCCAGCAGGCCTTGAAGTACGGCACCACCTGCCTACACCAGGGTGGGCACAGCCGGATCATGTCGACAATGTCTTGGCAAAACTGGTTCACGCCTGCCGGAAAGGAAATGGGGAGCACACAACTGTGGGGAAGCACCCTTGCCGGTCCGCCCCCCCCCCCTTTGCTTCGGGTTTCTCTTCCACGCATCCCACACCGCCCCTCGGCCGGACGACAGCATGTTGTGCACAGCCACTGCCTCTGATCCAGGGTGAAAGAAGAAGCAATTGCCAACTTTAGTTTTTTCCTGAACCCAAGCTGTCCCAGTCCAGATTAATTTAGGAAACAGCCCAGCACTTTAAGGCGCGTGGACTTCCACTCCCAGAATTCCCCAGCCAGCATGGGTGGCTGAGGAAGCATGGCTGGCTGAGGAATTTGATGATGTTCCCTAGTTGAGTCCTCTCACAGAGGGCAATAGACCCCATGATCCTCCTCCTCTTGCTTCTCCTCCTCCTCCTTCTCTCTGCAAACCTACCTCCCTTCTAGCATTGATGATGTTCCCTAGTCGGGTTGTGAAACGTCTGCAAGAGATTCACCCAGCTCAGAGAGCACCAAGGACCCCACATTTCAGCAGTGCTTGGTGGGGTGAATTCCAGTCTATTCACTACTTACTTCCACCTTTTACACTGAGGGAAGCCTGACCTGATAGAGACTGTTCTGGACTTAGCATAGACCTACATAACTCTAACTAGGGAGCATGTGTTAGTATGTTAGAATATCTGGCAGTTATTGGGTTAAATGCTGGGTATGTTGATGGGTCAGTGGGAGGAGTCAAAAAGGGTCATTGGGAGACTCCCTGGACACAAGCCAGATGGAAGCCTTTGTTCATCCAGGCAGGTGTGTTTTGCCAACATGTGACTCTCAGCAGAAGAAGAGGGGAAAATTCAATATTAAATTACCTATAGGAATGAACAAATATGGAAAACCAGATGCATCCACAGCATAGTAAGTCTCTGCTTAGAATTCCTGGACAATAAATGTTTGTTTTAATCATTTCTATCGAGTTATCTGACTGTTTAGATTGGATTCAGAGCCACGAGTTCCGTCTGGGCAGAACAGAGACCAAAGGCCTTGGCACATGAACAAACCACTTATGCTGGTTAGTGGTGAAGAGTGACGCAGTGCCCCACTCCCAGAGAGTCCCACAGGAGGAGACCCTCCCTGGGAAGCCATTGGCTGCCTGGCACACCTTGCTCACCCCACGCGGACTCACCGTAGAAGAAGGCCACTCCGAGGCACATGAAGAGCGCCACAATGATGAGGCCGAAGCTGGTGCTGTAGGCATCGATGAGGGTGAACCAGTAAATGCCGCCCTGAAGGAGGAAAGCCACAAACGCCTGGCACAACCTAGGCAGAATCCTGGAAAAGTGGGCAGAACGGACCTGGACCTCCCCAATCAGTCTGCTGCTCTCCTTCCGGGGGCTGCAGGGGGAGCTTCCCCCCAATTCAGAGTCTGGACTTCATCGGGGTGGGTTTGCAAGGATCCCCAACACCACCCCTGGGATCCCCGCAGTGGTTGCCCACAGAGCACAGGAGATGGCAATGCAAACGGTTCACCAAGGACCCTTTAGCGCAACGGTTCTCAGCCTGTGGGTCGGGACCCCATTTGGGGCCGAACGACCATTTCACGGGGGTCGCCAAACAACGCAGTCCGCCATTTTTTTTCCCTTTTTCCTTAGCTGTGCTCCTCCCTTTTATTCTATTGGCTTTTGAAAGCCAATAGAATAGACTCTCTTGAATAGAGTCTCATTCTATTGGCTTTCAAAAGCCAATAGGAATTGTCCAGGGTGTCTCTGCCCTGCTGAGCCCGCCAAAAGTCCCATTCTGCAAACGGGGCTGCACCAGCTGAGTAGTCCTCGACTTACGACCGGTAGAGTAGTCCTCGACTTACGACCGGTTGGGGGTCACGGCGTTAAAAAGGTTGAGAACCACTTCTTTAGCTGCTTTAAAAAAAGGGGGGGGTGAGGCCTGGCCAGAACTACATAATCCCTAATGCTGTGCTTGATCAGCACAACAAAGGTTACAACACGCAGAGGATCCCAATCTAGTATAATCATTCCTGCTGTGTTCATGTAACAAACCAGGTCCATTCAGACAGCTCCCGCGAATGGTGGCTTAACGTGCTTGCCCGGTTTAGACCACCCACTAAGGCAGAAAACTGGATTCCCACAACAGAGGCAACCCCCAACCCTGGTTCAAGGCCTCTTTTACGGCAGGTCCCACCAAGAGACAAGACGCTTTGGATTACGGTACAGGTAGTTCTCGGCTTAACGACCATAATCGAGTCCAAAATACTTGTTGCTGAGAAATTTGTGAAGTGAGCTTTGCCCCATTTTATGACCTCTCTTGCCAGTCATTAAGTGAATCACTGCAGTTGTTAATAACCCGGTTGTTAAGTGAATCCGGCTTCCCCCCCCCATTGACTTTGCTTGTCAGAAGGTCCCAAAAGGGGATCACGTGACCCCTGGGACACACTGCGACCGTCGTAAGTAGGAGTCGGCTACCAAGTGGCTGAATTTTGATCCTAAGACCCTGACGATGCTGCAACGGTCGTAAGTGTGAAAAGGGGTCCTAAGCCACTTTTTTCAATGCCGTCGTAACTTCGAATATTCGCTGAACACTGTACATCGAGGACTCCTGTAATAAGTCAGTGGATCTTGCCAACGCAAAATGAGAAGTATATTGTGATGAGGAGGATGGGGGAAAGATGGGGTGCTTAAACACACACACACACACACACACACACACACACACACACACACGTTCTTACCTCTGTAATCAAGAGCAGGCCCAGCAGGTAGAAGGCCAAGCAAAGCCCTCCCAGGAATAGGACTTTGCGCCTCCAACGGCGCAGCGACGGGAACTCGTCCATCACTGCCGTTGTGATGCCCTCCATGTTTCCGAACTGACGGACAGGCAGGTGAGCATTAGTGGCTTTGCCAAGGAAAATGGAGCACCCCCCCCTCCCTAAGGATCCTGAGCCGCCCTCTCCGAAGCTCAGCACCATCCGACAATGGACGGACCCGAAGACGGACCAAGAATGGAGCAGAAGGTGGAGCCAGGATGTCCCACAAGACTCGTCTTTCGTTCTCGGGGGCTGTGCGGGGGACAGAACAAGGCCGTGCGCATGCTTCAAAAGTGATGCAGAAAAGATGCTTCAGAGCAGTCGAGATGCAAGCGTTGCCCCTCTTTAGAGCATCTGCAACTTTAATGGGACTCATGAAAGCGGCAGAGTCTCTTCTCAAGGCCCTTTGGAAGCTGGGAAGAAGATGCAGCTGCCTTAAAGAGCACCACTCGGATAGCGAAAAAGCTTTCATTTGCCCGAGAATCGTTTTTTCAGGCCCATTGGAAGGCAAGAGAACAAGGAAGCAGCATTTTAGCGTTCAAACCGAAGTGGCGATCCCTTCGTGATTTAAGTTATGCTTTTTTTTTTTTTTACAGTCAGCAATTTTACTACTGCCAACACTGCAGAGAGTTCTTGATTTGAAGGAAGGAATGAAATATTAGAATAGGGGAAAGAAGGAAGGAAGGAAGGAAGGAAGGAAGGGAGGGAGGGAGGGAGGGAGGGAGGGAGGAGGAAAGGAGGAAGGAGGGGAGAAAGGAAGGAGGAAGAAGGGAGGGAGGGAAGGAGGAGGGAGGAGGGGAGGGGAAGGAAGAAAGAGAGAAAGAAAGAAGAAAGGGAGGAAGGAGGAAGGAAGGAAGGAAGAAAGAAGAAAGGGAGGGAGGAAGGAAGAAGGAAGGGAGGGAGGAAGGAAGGAAGGAAGGAAGGAAGAAAGGGAGGGGAGAAGGGAAGGAGGAAGAAAGAGGGAGGGAGGAAGAAAGAAAGAAAGGGAGGGAGGGAGGAAGGAGGAAGGAAGGAAGGGAGGGAAGGAGGGAGGGAGGGAGGAAGGAAGGAAGGAAGGAAGGAAGGAAGGAAGGAAGGAAGGAAGGAAGGCAACCAAGAAGCTTCCTTGCCTTAAAAGTCACCTCAGTGGCCCAGATGTTTGCTTCAGGACCCCTGGCAATCCTGTGGGAGACCCTCACCCAGATGTGCTCAGGGGGAATTGCAATAGACCTGAAGGGGCCAGGTGAGTCAGGTGGCCGCAGAAGCCGCTGCTGCTCTTGGTGGGGCTCTTACTCCACACACCCACCCACCCACTTTACACAGCTCCAGTTCTCGCCCCAGCCTGGCCGGCTGCCACTTACCAGCGTGTCCACCCCCAGGGTGAAGAGCATCAGGAAGAACAGGATGGACCAGAAGAAGGAGCCGGGCAGCAGAGCCAGGGCCTCGGGGTAGGCCACAAAGGCCAGTCCGGGTCCTGGGGAAAGAGCCAGGGGTCACTCAGAGCCCACCGCCTGCTTGCCTGCTTTGGTCAAATCTGGGCCCACCAGCAGGCAAGGCGGGGTTTGGAGATGGAGAGGAGCGGTGGGGCGGTGGGTGGGGCTCCTCTTCACCCAACCCTACGCTGCTCAGCCCCTCCTCTGCAAATGGCCTGCCCCTCCCCCCCAGGAAAACAGGGGTGCCAAAACGACCTTTGCCCTCAGGGCCCCCCTGGAGCCAGGCTGGAGGAGCACGGAAGGGTTCCAGGTCAGCCCTGGAGATCTCAAAGCCTCCGAGAGACGACCGGGGGCCCACCCAAGGGGGGCTCCCCAGCACCCTCCCTACCTGAATCGGCCACCCTTCCGACCGACACCTTCTTCCGCCAGGCCATGTGCCCCAGGATGGAGAAAATGGCGAAGCCGGCGAAGAGGCTGGTGCAGCAGTTGCCAACGCCGATCACCAGCGTGTCTCTGTGGGCGGACAGAGAGAAACGCGCGCGGCTGAACCAGGGGGTGGCCGGCTGTCCGCTGGGCTGTGGGCTCCTGCGCTGACACCCCCCCATTGCTGGATCCCGGGGCTTTGTCTTCCTTGCCCCCCAAAAGTTTCCCATAGCAAGAACAGGTTGTGACGCTAGGCCTGCTTGATGCCAGAGACCCCCCAAAGTTTTTTCCCAGCGTGGCAGATCTGCACACAGCTGGGATTGGGGCCAGGGCGCCCGTGGGCCTCTCCCGAGGTCTCACCTGATCACGTTATTGTCAAACTTGTTGTAGGAAGCCATGGAGAGCAGCCCCCCGAAGCCTATGCCCAGCGAGTAGAAGATCTGCGAGGCCGCGTCATTCCAGACCTTCTCCAGGGGAGGGAAAGAGACAGTGTGGGTTCCTCTCTCTGTTGACCCCGCCACTTGCATCCTCCCTTACTAACATGGGCTGAGCAGCCTGGTTACTAGAAGCATCAACACAGCATGTAAGCCACAGTTGGTGCCTGCAGAAACACGGAAGGCTGAATTCTGGCTCGCAGAACGCGTGAACTCAGTCATGGGTTACTCAGAAAACATTGTTAAGTCCTTAGTGCTCTCTGAGCTGGGTGGTTTTCTTGCAGACGTTTCATGACCCAACTAGGGAACACCATCAGTGCTAGAAGGGAGGAAGGAAGGAAGGAAGGAAGGAAGGAAGGAAGGAAGGAAGGAAGGAAGGAAGGAAGGAAGGAAGGAAGGAAGGAAGGAAGGAAGGAAGGACAGACAAACTGGGGTCCTGGGTGCTCCCTGAGCTGGGTGGTTTTCTTGCAGACGTTTCATGACCCAACTAGGGAACATCATCAGGGCTAATGGTGATGCTCCCTCTGTTGACGTTCCCTAGCTGGGTCAGGAAACATCTGCAAGAAAACCAGCAGACTCAAAGAGCGTCAAGGACTCCAATGCTGAGCTACAAATATTCTCTTCCAAACCATTCTTTGTCAAACCATGGCTTAATGTCACCTGCAAAGCAGGCCAGAGAGTGCAGTCACACCCTTAGGAGGCTCTGATTTGTAAGCACACATTGGTGGCTTGCTCTTGGATCGTGTGCGTTTGTCCCATCGGACGCGGCTAAGACACCATGGCTTAGCTGAGGTTGAAATCCAGCCAGTATAAAACGCCCCGGGTGGGGCTGGCTGTCAGGGGTTGGGCTTCCTTCTCATCTGGCCCACCTTCCCCATAAGCCCCCCCACGAGAGGGCAGGACAAGAAGTCCCATGCACACCTGACCCCCTCCCTCTGTTCCTGCCAAGCTGCCCCCATCCCGCCTCAGAGACCCCAGTCCATCCAGGACCGGCATCCTGATCGCCCACCCACCCCCCATTGGAGAAGGCCATTCTGCCCGTGGGCGCACCTGGGCGCTCTGCAGCCGGCTCCAGTCTGCGGAGAGGTAGAAGCGGATGCCCTCAACGGAGCCCTCCAGCGTGGCTCCCCGGATGATCAGCACCACGAGCACCACGTAGGGGAAGGTGGCAGTGAAGTACACCATCTGGGCAGGGAGGCAGCAGGGCGGCTGAGAGGGAGAAGCACCCCGGCCCCAGCCGGAGACCGGCAGCCCCCCCCCAGTGCATGACCAGGGAGGGGCTCCCCTTGTTTCCCCCTTGGCCGGGGCATGGTGGCCCCGAGCCCCCCACTCACTCGCTCACCTTGCCCGAGCTGCGGATGCCCTTCAGGCTGCAGAGGAAGACGACCGCCCAGGCCAGCAGCAGGCACAGTGCCAGGGACCCCCTCACGGGGCCCGGGTCGCCCAGGCCGGCGCTGTGCACCACGCCCAGCACCCGCTGGCTGGAAGCAGAAGAGGGGGACGGAGAAGGAGAGCGGGTGGCCAGGAGGGACCCCCCCTCCGCTCCCCGGGACCCTCCCCACCAGGTGGCCCATGAAAGGGCGAACAATACGGGAAGTCCTCGACTTAATGATTCGCTTAGGGACCGTTTGGTTACAGTGAAAAAAGTGACCTGCACATCCTCAGGGTCACGTGATCACAATTCAGGCGCTTGGCCACTGACTCGTACTTATGACGGTTGCAGTGTCCGGGGGGGGTCACGTGACTCCCCCCTTTGAGCCAAGGGGGGAAGCCAGATTAACTGAACACTTAACGTGTTAACAACGGCACTTAACTGTAAAACGGGACAAATTTCACTTTAACAACAGAGGTTTTGGACTCGGTGATGGTCGTGGGTCGAGGGCTGCCTGTAGTTCTCCAAGGCCAAACAAAATGAGCGCACACACACACACACACACACACACACACACTGCCACCTCCCCCTGGCAGCAGCGAGACAAGTGGGGGGAAGTGGAGAGTTGCCCCTCCCTCCATCCCTGGCTGGGTTCCTTTGCTGACAAAGCAGCAGCCAGCGGGCAACTTTGATTGTGATCAACCTCTTCTTTTTGCCGTTTTGGCCTGTGTGTGTGTGATTGTGTTGTGTGCCATGAGCTGTGCTTGGAGAAGCAGGGACTCCCAACAGAAGATTAGCAGAATGACAGAGCTGGGAGGGAGCTTGGAGGTCATCTAGTCTGGGGGTCCCCAACCGTGGCCACTTGAAGACCGGTGGACTTCAATTCCCAGAATTCCCCAGCCAGCATAGCTGGCTGGGGAATTCTGGGAGTTGAAGTCCACCGGTCTTCAAGTGGCCACGGTTGGGGACCCCTGCTCTAGTCCAGCCCCCTCTTCAAGCAGACCAATGGCTGTCCAGACTCTTTTCCAAAACTTCCACCTTCCGGAAATTTCTCCGGAAATTCTGGGCTGGGTCTCTCCTTGACGCTGGATCAGAAGAGGCTGGGCTAAGGCCAGGCCCTCCTTCCCAGTCTCAGGCTGAGCCCACCCCCCAAAGAGATGGAGGCGTGTCCCGGTCCCTCCCCGAAGTGCCCCCAACTCCCCCCCCCAGGAGACTCACTTCCAGAAGACCTCGCTGGGGCTGGCCGGGGGGCTGCTCGCCAAAGACCTGTTCTGAAAGGAAAGAGACTCTCCTGGTGGGGCAGGCAATGCGGGGGCGGGCTCCTTTCCTCGGCCAAAGAGGGGCTCCGGCCTGTAGAACCCCAAGAGTTGCCCCTGCTGCTCTTCTTCCCCACACAGGACCCCCCCAGTACCTGAGACCGGCAGAGGGGCCGGTTGTGTGGGGCGTCGCAGGACCAGGGCAGGGGGCTCTGGAAGGACTGGCTCAGGTAGTAGAAGGTCCAGGCAATGATCACGTTGTAGTAGAGGGAGACCAGCGAGGCGACCACCAGCATGCCGACCCCGATCCCTGCAGAGGGTGTGGGGCACGTCGACCAGCCGGGCCCCATGGCTTCCCTTCCCCAGTGAGGGAAGACCCCCCCAGCAGAGCGGAGGGCATTTCTTTGAGCCCCAGCAGCAGAGCACGGGTTGCTGATGGGCAGCGCCCGGGCCCCCCTCCCCAGAAGCCGCCCAGGGCCCCCGAAGCTCCCCCACAAGCAGGAAAGAGTACCTGGGGGCTGGTGAGCTGAGTCACAGCAAGAGGGTGTCCTCCACAGGGCAAAAGGAGGCCCTTGGGGTCCCTCTCCTTTCCAGCCCCCATCTGGGCCCCTCCCACTCCCTGGAAGCCCCACGTGGACGGCCATGTGGGTGGCCTCCTGGCCCGGCTGCTCCTCCGGGAGGCCAAAGGAGGCCGGGGAGCTCACCTTTCAAGAGGGGGCAGCACTTCCAGACGCTGAGGGGTCCGGTGGCCCCGTATTGGCCAAGGCTGAGCTCCATCAGGAAGAGAGGCAGACCCGTGAAGACCAGCATGATGGTGTAGGGAATCAGAAACACCCCTGAGGAGGGAAGGCAGCGCAGGTGTGGCTCTTCATATACACCACCAGCAATCCTCCTCCTCCTCCCTCTTCCAGCATGGATGATGCTACCTAGCTGGGTCATGAAATGTCTGCAAGAAAGCCACCAAGCTCAGAGAGCATCAAGGATCCCACAATTCAAGCTCAGAAAGAACCAAGGACTCTACAGTTCTCCTCCTCCTCCTCCTCCTCCTCCTTCCCCTCCTCTTCCAGCACGGATGATGCTACCTAGCTGGGTCATGAAATGTCTGCAAGAAAGCCACCAAGCTCAGAAAGAACCAAGGATCCTACAGTTCTCCTCCTCCTCCTCCTCCTCCTCCTCCTCCTCCTCCTCCTCCTCCTCCTCCTCCTTGCACAAATCCACTGGCGCTGGACTAACTCAACTCGGCACCCCCATGAGAATGGATTCCCACTCATGTGAGAAGGAGCCTGGGGGGAAATGGCTGAAACTTTGGTGCTTGTGGCAACGAGGCCTTGAGGAAAGCCGCCTGGAACCAGAGATCAAAAGGGAAGGGCCGGCCGGCCGGGAGCGAAGACCTCCTGACCCATCAGGACCAACATGGATCCTCTAGGCTAGGGTGGGTTCACCGTGACCCTCACCGCTTAATCTCGACAAGGATGGAATCGCTTCCGTGGTTTGCCATCATTTCATGAGCGGTTCCCACGATTCGGCTTAAGAGCCCCTCTCTAGGAGCAGAATAATGATAGACACCAAGGTGTGAAATGGCTGAGTGGGGAATTCTGGGAGCTGACGCCCACAAGTCTTCAAGTTGCCAACTTTGGAGGTCCCCGGTCTAAAAGGCTTTTGGCACGTTGGTCCCTGCCTGGAGCTTCTGCTTCTTCAAAGGGGATTTGGCTCCTGGCTGATTGCTCAGTGCCACAGCGCCCCCTGTTGGGATGTATAGGGAAAGCCCTGTTCTTGACCCCACGCTCAGGGCAAATGTGTAAACCAGGGATAGGCAACCTGGACTCTTTTATGACTGGTGGACTTCAACTCCCAGAATTCCTGAGCCAGCACGGGGGAAACTGTGGCCCCTTCATGACTGGTGGACTTCAACTCCCAGAATTCTTCAGCCAGCATGGGGGAAACTGTGGCCCCTTCATGACTCGTGGACTTTAATTCCCAGAATTCCTGAGCCAGCATGGGGGAAACTGTGGCCCCTTCATGACTCGTGGACTTCAACTCCCAGAATTCCTCAGCCAGCATGGGGGAAACTGTGGCTCCTTCATGACTCGTGGACTTTAACTCCCAGAATTCCTGAGCCAGCCTGGCTCAGCTTGGAAACCTCTCCCTTTCCCCTCAGCATGGCTGGCTCAGGAATTCTGGGAGTTGGAGTCTACGAGTCATAAAAGAGCCAAGGTTGCCTACCCCTGGTGTAAACGATAAAGGGGGGGTTGGGTGGGTGTCCCTAGAAAGGGAAGGATGGGTGTGTAGGCCTACGCAGAAAAAGGGAGATGCTACGGAATGGGCAAATCGTTGAACCATTGCTCTAATTGCTCACACACACAATTTCGACTTTGTTGTTGTTGTTAATTGCGAAGTCGTGTCCAACCCATCGCGACCCCATGGACAACGTTCCTCCAGGTCTTCCTGTCCTCTACCATCTTCTAGAGTCCATTTACGTTCACGCCTACTGCTTCAGTGACTCCATCCAGCCCCCTCCTTCTCCGTCATCCCCTCCTTTTCTTCCCCTCCATCTTTCCCAGCATCAGACTCTTCTCCAGTGAGTCCTTCCTTCTCATTAGGTGGCCAAAGTATTTGAGTTTCCACTTCAGGATCTGGCCTTCTCAAGAGCAGTTGGGGTTGATCTCCTCCAGGACTGACCGGTTGGATCGCCTTGCAGTCCAAGGGATTCGCAGGAGTCTTCTCCAGCACCATAGTTCAAAGGCCTCCATTCTTTGGCGCTTGGCCTTTCTTACGGTCCAACTTTCACATCCATACATTGCAACTGGGAAAACCATGGCCTGGACTGTATGTACTTTTGTTGGCAGGGTGATGGGGTCGCGGCATTAAAAAGGTTGAGAACCACTGATTTAAGCTCACTCCCACTGCTTCAGGGACTCCATCCAGCCATCTCATTCTCTGTCGTCCCCTTCTTCTCTTGCCCTCCATCTTTCCCACCATTAGCCCTTAATTTCGACTTAACAACCCACAAAGAACAATAGAGCCGCTCACAGGGAGAAAGGAGAGAAAGCAAGGAAAGGGCAGGAGATGGGATGATTAGGGTCAGGTAGCTCAAGGGGAGGGAGGGAGGGAGGGAGGGCATGCAAGGAGCAGTTTTACTCCAGCTTTACAACGCCAGCCATGCTTTGACCATGTGGATCTTGCCCCAATGTCAAATGCATTAAGGAGAAAGGTGCCCAAACATCCAATCTTCTGAAGAACAAGAAGCTTCTCTTACTGATGGTGCTTTCTGAGTTGGGTGGTTTTCTTGCAGACGTTTCATTACCCAAACGAGGTAACATCAACAGCACTAGTCGTAGAACTGATGACATTCCCTAGTTGGGTCATGAAACGTCTGCAAGGAAACCACCCAGCTCAGAGAGCATCAAGGACCCCACAGTTCTTCTCCTTCTCTCTCTCTCTCTCCTTCCTTCCTTCCTTCCTTCCTTCCTTCCTTCCTTCCTTCCTTCCTTCCTTCCTTCCTTCCTTCCTTCCTTCCTTCCTTCCTTCCTCTTCTCCTTTCCACTCCCTTCTAGCACTGATGCTGTTCCCTAGTTGGGTCGTGAAACGTCTGCAAGGAAACCACCCAGCTCAGAGAGCACCAAGGACCCCTCATTCCAAGCCCAAGCTACAAAACTAATGAATGAAACTAAATAATGAAACTCATCAAGGAGAGAAGCAGCCTAGAACTAAGGAGAAACTTCCTGACAGTGAGAACAATTAACCCATGGAACCACCTGCCTCCAGAAGCGGTGAATGCTCCAACACTGGAAGTTTTTAAGGAGAGACTGGACAGCTATTTGTCTGAAATGGTATTATAGGGTTTCTTGCCTGAGCAGGGGGTTGGACTAGATGACCTCCAAGATCGAGCGCTTAAGTTTGCAATAAACCTTTATGCTCATTTGAACTGCCTGACTCTTCCGATTTCTCCGGCACTTGACAGAATATATGTTGTTTAATGAAGAGGAGGACGAGGGATGACATGATAGCGTGTTCCAGTATCTCAGGGGCTGCCCCAAAGAAGAGGGAGTCAAGTTGTTCTCCAAAACCCCGAAAGGCAGGAGAAGAAGCAACGGATGGAAACTCATCAAGGAGAGAAACAATCTGGAACTAAGGAGGAATTTTCTGACAGTGAGGACAATTAACCAGTGGAACAGCCTGCCCCCAGAAGTGGTGAATGCTCCAACACTGGAGGTTTTTGAGAAGAGACTGGACAGCCATTTGTCTGAAATGGTACAATAGGGTTACCTGCCTGAGCAGTGGGTTGGACTAGATGACCTCCAAGGTCCCTTCCAACATTATTATTATTATTACTACTACTACTACTACTATTATTAATATTCTCCTTTATTAGCTTCCCTTCAGAACAGTTTGGAGAAACGCAGTTGTTGTGAAGAGGCACAATGAGACAAGGATGCTGGTGGCACCCACACCTGCCCAGGGCCTACAGGGATGATGAGAAAGGCAGGAGCAGAGCAATAAGCAGCACCATCAAAGTTCAAAGCAAAATACTAATAATTTGAGATGGAGTATGTCTCGCTGTAATGGAAAGCAAGAGAGGCTTTAAGCTCTGTGTGACCACAGGAAGGAAATGAAACAATCCACATTAATATTCACTAAGAAAGAAGAGTTAAGGTCAACGTGCTTGCAGGGCAAATTCAGAGCCGGTGGAAAAGAAATGAAAGTTTTGGATGTTTTTGTTTCCTTGCACCAGGTTGCCCACTGGGCCCCTACTAGGAGCACCAAGGCTGGAAGAAGATGGGACGTCTACTCACCGCCTCCATTGCGATAGCAGAGATACGGGAACCGCCAGACGTTCCCCAGCCCCACACAGTATCCCAGGCAGGAGAGCAGGAATTCGTACTTCCCTCCCCACGTCTCCCGGGGCTGGGGGGGCTCAGGGGCCAGGGTCGCACCCTGTGCCAGGAGAGATGGCTGCGTCTGGGGTAGGACGGTGGCTGTCAGGTGGAACCCCTCCAGGCCAGCCCCATTCAGCTGGGTGACTCCGACCTGCGACCAAAGGAGACAGGAGGAGAAAGCTGGTCAGGAACGCAACCGCCATTTGCCGGCTGTGGGTAATTCTGGGAGTCGAAAGCCACACATCTCTGCAAGGGGCTGAAGTTGGCCAACCCTGGTTTAGTGGGTCTTTGAGTTAGCGCTGAGCCCTGGAAATTGAGTAGACGAGTCCCTGCGGTTTTTGTCAATGGCGGTTGAGAAGGGGCTCGCCCTTGCCTTCTTCCCAGGGCTGAGAGGGAGGGGCCGGCCCAAGGTCACCTTGCTGGCTTGGGGCCCAAGGAGGAACTGGAACCAGGCTGGGAACCATTACGAGAAGCAATCCTGGTTTTCCGGCCAGGGCGCCTTCACCCCTGCACCAAGCTGGCTGAGGGCTTGGTGCCTCCAGAATCGGCAGGAGCCCGCCCGTTCCCAAAGTCAGCCAGCCACCAGCTCCTCTGGAGCACCTCAGGGCGAAGCTTCCTTCAGGGTCCGACTGCCCTGCGCGGCCCAGGTTGGCCCGCTCGTTTTTCTCCCCGCCTGGAGGGCTCAGAGGACCCCGCCTGACCGGCTGGGCCTGTCCATCTAGCAGGACACGCCTGGACGACGACCTTGGAAAGGTCATTGCCCAGAGCCCTCCCAAGCGGGAGACGCTGTCCTGGCCACCTCGCTGAAAAAGAGCACTTTCCGTCTTTTAAAAACTCCAGAATTACAGAGCAAGAGTCGGAAGGGACCCCCGGAGGTCTTCTAGTCCAACCCCGGCTTAAAAAAGGAGCCGATTTCTCCGGCCGGGCAGTCCAGAGATCGAGTCCTGTAGTTGGACACCCCAGTTTGAATTTGGGGGGCAATCCAGGTTGGGGGAGGAGGAGGGAAGCGGCGAACGTTCCCCCCTCCCTTCTCGCAGCGGGGCCCTTCGGAGCAACCGGCTCAGCCGCGGCTGCCTTCGCACAACCAGGCCGGGCGTCTCCTTGCAGCGCGGGATCCACCTGCCCGCCAACGCCGCGGCTCCCTTCCCTGCAGCGCCGCGCCCAGCCCGGCTCTCCTCGGCCAGCCGGCCGGCCCGGAATAGCCGCCCCGAGGGCCGCTGGGCGCCGGGCAGGGGGCTCCGGGCTCCCCGGGGACCGAGGTCGCAGGAGGAAGGACCGAGCCGCCGCCGGGCTGCCCCCACAACCTCCCTGCTGGGTAGGCCCAGGGCGGAACCCCCCCGCTCCTGCCCCCCCCCCAGCCTTCTCAGGCTTCCCTGACGGGCGGGCGGGACTCACCGGGCGGGCGGCCGGAGCAGCCGCAGGAGGAGGAGGAGGCGGCGGAGGCTCCATCGGGCACCGGCGCCTCGCTGGAGTTCCGGCCGCTCAGCCAGGCGGGCGAGGCGAGGCCAGGTAGGCCGGCCGGCAACGCACCTGGCCGCGCCCGCCGCTCACCTGGTCCGCCCCGCCCGGCTCTGCCCGCCCCGCGGGAGGCGCCCCCGAAGCCGCCCGCGCCCCTCGCCCCCCCCGCGGGAGGTTGCCAGGCACGAGCCGGATCTTCCAGACCGGGTTCCCACGTTGGGGCGGAGATGCGTGGACGGGCCAAGAGCGGGCGGGATCGGGCCCGAGGAGCGGCTCCTCCGGGGCCAGCAGGGGCCGAGCCCCGGCGGGGGACGAGGGGGAGATTCACCCCGGGGGGCTTTGGAGGGATCGCCGCCCGGCCTGAAGCGCCGCTCGGGCAGGAGAGCCGCTTCTGGGGTGCGTGGAAGGGGCTTCTGCAGCCCCCAGACCCAGGGAGGAGGGGGTTTTTGCTGCAGAAGACGGGACAGGAGCTTCAGACATGATTTACGTAACGTGTCCCCTCCTAACCCCAGAGCCTCATCCAGGAAGCACCAACGAGAAAACAAGCCTGACACCGACCGGGCAAGTCACTGGTGCATGAACAGAGAGCAGACCCTCCTCCCTTGTAGCCCTGATGATGCTACCCAGTTACCTAATGAAACGTCTGGGAGAAATGATGCTCAGAGAACACCAGGGACTCCCACAGTCTTCCTCCAGCCACTCCTCCCCCCCCACTCCTCCTCCTCCTCCCCCCCCACTCCTCCTCCTCTCCGCAAGCCCCCCTCCCTTCCAGCCCCGATAATGTAGAGCAGGGGTCCTCAACCTTGGAGGTCTTCTAGTCCGGGGGTCCCCCAACCGTGGTCACTTTAAGACCGGTGGACTTCAACTCCCAGAATTCCCCAGCCAGCAAAGCTGGCTGAGGAATTCTGGGAATTGAAGTCCACAAGTCTTCAAGTGGCCAAGGTTGAGGACCCCTGATGTAGAGAAACAGCCAAGCTCAGAGAGCATCAGGGACCCTTCGCGCCCCCCCCCCACGTCAGGCGTGATCCTCAACTTATGCCAGCCTCTGGTGAGTGTCCCCTTGGGGTCTCGTCACTCTCTTGGCCCAGCACCTTCAGAGGCCCCCCCCAAACGGTAGGGAAGGGCTGAAGCAGCCCCCCCTGGGCTTCTCTTGTTTGGGCTGGGGTGGGGCAGAGATGAGGGCAAGAAAAGGGTCCAGAGAACATGCAAGGCGAGAGAACAAAGCTTTATTCCCTCTCAGGCAGTGGGAAAGTTGGGGTGACCCCTTGAAAGGGCATGGCCCCTACTCAGATTTGGGGAGCAGTCTGGGGGCTCCCAGCGCCTGCAGAAGGAGCAGGGGCAGCTTGGCTCAGCTGCGTCTTGGGCATCAGTGCCCCCTCTTTCTGGCCAGGTGGGACTCTGCCCGGGGCGGCTCTGGCCTGCCTCTCAGCGGGTCCATGACCCTGCCCTGCCTGGGGGGCTGCCCCCGAGAGCCACGCAGAATGCAGCCACCCGGGCCGGGGTGGTGGGCACGGCTCAGTGGGGGCTGGACTAGGAGACCTCCGGGGCCCCTCGCTGCTCTAGCCTGATTGAGGCTGGAGCCCTTTCTCTGGAGGGACCCCCCACCCGACCACAGCCCCCCACTCTGTCTCAGCTGACGATAGCTTGTTCTGGGGGGGGGGGCTTCCTCCGTGGCTGCATTGCTGGCTGTTGCGCCGGAGACCTTGCACGGAACGCGTCGAGAGGTTAGGATGGTGGGCAGGGCAGGGACCGTAAAGAGCAGGGGTTCTCAACCTTGGCCACTTTAAGACTTGTGGACTTCAACTCCCAGAATTCCTCAGCCAGCTTTGCTGGCTGAGGAATTCTGGGAATTGAAGTCCACAAGTCTTAAAGTGGCCAAGGTTGAGAACCCCTGGTAAAGAGGCTCTGCCAGCAGCCCTTCGCATCCTGAAGGGGGGGGAGCCGCGTTCAGGCCTGCTCGAACCGCAACTGGGGTGCACCCTCCGCTCCCCCCGCGGGAGCCCAGCTGGGTTTTGGGGCTCCCCCCTCCGGCAGCGACTGGAGAAAGCAGCTCGGCGGAACTGGTCGGGGCATTGCCGAAGGCGGTCTGCAGGTGGCGCTGTCGCGGACTGTGCGCCGCGCTCTAGGAGCAGCGGCAGGGCGGGGGCGCCTCTTTCCCGCCTTCCCCGCCGGGCTTCGCAGCCCGGCTCTGCGCACGCGCGAGTCCGGAGGGTGGACCCTCTCTCCCGGCTGGCCGCCATCTTTGTGCGGGGCAAGCGCGGCTGTTGGGCGGCCGGGCCCGCGGCCAAGATGGCGGCGTCGGCGTCGCTCGGGGCGGGGCCGCGGCGCTGGCGGGAAAGCGGCTGGCGGGCGATCGGCAAAGGCGGCGGCAGCAGCGGCGGCGGAGCTCCTCGGCTAGCCGGGCACCATGCACGTCGTTAAGCGAGGTGGGCAGCCTCCCCCCCCCTTCCCCCGCGGACGCCGCCCCTCATTCGACGGTCCCGGGCATGGGGGGGGGCGGCCGCCTTCCTCCCTCACTGGTTGGAGGGCGATGGGCTTTGTAGTCCCCGAGCGGATCCCCTGAGTTGGGGGTCCCGGCCTCCCAATCCCAGACTTCGGGGGGGGGGGTAGCGGGGCTCCCTTATTGGTTCTCTTAAGGCGGGGGGAGGAAGGGGGCGCCCCCCATGCCTGGCAATATCTGGGGGGGGTCTTTCTTTCTCCCCCTCCCCCCAGCCTTCTCTCCCCCCCTTCCGCCCCCAAAGTCAGGCCTGCACCCCCACCACAGACCCTCTGCCCCTCCCCCCAGGCCTTGAACCCTCCCCTGAATTGGGGGGGCTGCCCCTCCCTCCCTCGTGCAACTCTCCCCCCCCCGAAGCTCCTGGGGGAGGGGAGGGCTGGCCCAGACGGACTTCGGCCTGCCCAGCAGGGTCGAGGTTCTTCAGGTGGAGGGGAGGGCTGGAGATGGGAGGGGGCCCATCCAGGCCTGCTGGTCTTGAGGGGGGGGGGCAGCAGCCTATCTCCAAAGAGCAGGAGGGGGGGTAGGAGTGTGCCCCCCCCCTCCCAGCCATTCTGAACCAGGGGCCGGAGTCGGGGGAGGGTCCTGTGCCCCCCCCCCGCTGCTTTTCTGCCTAACCTCTCTTTCTCATCTGTCTCCTTGCCCCCCCCTCCCCTCTCCCATCCTCCCCCCCCCAGATGGCCGCCACGAGCGGGTCATGTTCGACAAGATCACCTCCCGCATCCAGAAACTCTGCTACGGCCTCAACGTGGATTTTGTGGACCCCGTAAGTCTCCTTCGGCCTCCCCGTCCGAGAACTGCCCCCCCTTTTGGCCCTGGCCCTGCGAGGAAGAGGCTGGTGCCCAACGGGGGGGGGGCTGCTCGGCTGGGTAGGGAAGCAGCCCTGGACCTCTTTGACAGGGGCGTGGGTGGCATAAGAAATAGGAAAAGGATCCCCCCAAAAGATTTCCCTATTCTAGGTTTATCCTAGATAGATTCCTAAGGGGGTTAGTTTGCCACCAGGGTCTGTCTGATTATTTCTTATTTAGAGGGAAATCTGCTCTTGGGGATGGCTTCGATCTGTGTGTGTGTGTGTGTCTGTGAGAGAGAGAGAGAGAGAGAGGAGGGGGGGGAGGAAGGGTACACTTATGGGTATGAAATCATCCCATTCACACAGGATACACCTCATTAGCTCATGCCCTTAATCACTACTCAACCTTTTAAAAATTTTATTTTATATGGTTGCCCAGCTCAGATACAGGTAGTCTGGGCGGCTCACAACATTAAAATTCCACAACATAAAAACCTATATTTGGATGGATGGATAGATAGATAGATAGATAGATAGATAGATAGATAGATAGATAGATAGATAGGCAAATAAAGAAATAGAAATAGGTGGATAGAGAAATAGACAAACAATAGAAATATAGATAGAGAAATGGATGATAGAGAAGTAAGTAGGTAGATAGGAAGGTAGATAGATGAATATTGATCATGTGACTCTGGGGCTGTGGCAATGGTGGTAAATTCAATAGTCGGTCGTAAGTCACTTTTTAAAGTACATTTAGAACGGTCACTATATGAATAATTGTAAGTCGATCACTGGACCATGTTTCAGGATGGCCACAAGAGGAAGACTTTGTAGGCCCTAAAAAGGCCAAATGTTAAGAAATCAGTTTGCCACGATTCAGAGGTCTTTTCTTTCGGCCAGGCTCAAATCACCATGAAGGTGATCCAGGGCCTCTACAGCGGGGTGACCACGGTCGAACTGGACACGCTGGCGGCCGAGACAGCGGCCACTCTCACCACCAAGTACCCTGACTACGCCATCCTGGCTGCACGGATTGCTGTCTCCAATCTGCACAAAGAAACGAAGAAAGTCTTCAGCGGTGAGTGTCTGCAGGGACAGGGGGGGGACACACGGGAGAGGCAGAGGGCGGCCTGAATGTTAATATCACTCCTCTGTGTGCCTGGCTGAGGACGTCCACAAGTCCTAAAACAGGGGTTCTCAACCTGTGGGTCGAGACCCCATTTGGGGTCGAACGACCATTTCACAGGGGTCGCCAAACAACACAGCCCGCCATTTTTTTCCCCCTTTTCCTTAGCTGTGCTACTCCCTTTTATTCTCTTGGCTTTTGAAAGCCAATAGAATAGACTCTCTTGAATAGAGTCTAATTCTGTTGGCTTTCCAAAGTCAATAGGAATTGTCCAGGCTGTCTCTGCCCTGCTGAGCCCGCCAAAAGTCCCATTCTGCAAACGGGGCTGCACCAGTTGAGTAGTCCTCGACTTACGACTGGTGGAGTAGTCCTCAACTTACGACCGGTTGGGGGTCGCGGCATTAAAAAGGTTGAGAACCCCTGTCCTAAAAGGTCCAAGTTTGAAGACCCCTGGCTAAAAGTATAAGCGTACAATAAAATAATAACTGATGCAAAGATTAATAGGTCGTTTAAGACAGGGGTCTCCAACCTTGGTCATTTTAAGACGTGTGGGCTTCTGGGAGTTGAAGTCCGCAAGTCTTAAAGGGGCCAAGGTTGGAGAGCCCTGGTTGGTTTAAGATGTTCTTAAGAGGCATCAAGCTAATAAGAGGCAGGCTGCAATGAAACAGCCTGACCACTTGCCAGAACCTGGGATCAGGTGGGCTGTTGTAGCCTGATCGGTGCCACCACTTCCTTGTTGGATAAGGAAGCTGGCGGAAAATTCTCCTAGCTCCTTGATATGATTTTGAATGGTTGCTAAGGCACCAATCGTAACTTGAGGACTACCTGTATTCGGGAAGAAGTGAATTCGTCTGAACGCTGATTGGCTCTGAGCAGAAGGATGACTAAGTAGCCTCTGGAGTGCCCCGTTGCTGTGCATTACTTCTGCCATGTTGTGATCCATTGTGCCTTTGTTGCTTTCCAGATGTGATGGAAGACCTCTACAACTACGTGAACCCACACAACGGCAAGCATTCTCCCATGATCTCCAAAGAAACCCTGGACATTGTACAAGCCAACAAAGATGTATGTACTGATTGAATAGAGCATATTTTGGGCAGATGGAGAAAAAGGAGGGTCGTTGGTGGTCTTTGAGCTGGGTGGTTTTCCTGCAGACATTTCATGACCCAACAAGATAACGTCATCAGTGCTAAAATGGAGGAGGTTGTGGAGAGGAGGAGGAGGAAGACTGTGGAGTCCTTGCTGCTCTCTGAGCTGGGTGGTTTTCTTGCAGACGTTTCATGACCCATCTAGGGAACAGCATCAGTACTAGAAGGGAATGGAAAGGAGAAGAAGGAAGGAAGGAAGGAAGGAAGGAAGGAAGGAAGGAAGGAAGGAAGGAAGGAAGGAAGGAAGGAAGGAAGGAAGGAGAACAACTGTGGGGTCCTTGGTGCTCTCTGAGCTGGGTGGTTTTCTTGCAGATGTTTCATGACCCAACTAGGGAACAGCATCAGTGCTAGAAGGGAGTGGAAAGGAGAAAAGGAAGGAAGGAAGGGAAGGAAGGAAGGAGAGAAGGAGAAGAACTGTGGGGTCCTTGATGCTCTCTGAGCTGGGTGGTTTTCTTGCAGACGTTTCATGACTCAACTAGGGAACAGCATCAGTGCTAGAAGGGAGTGGAAAGGAGAGGTAGGAAGGAAGGAAGGAAGGAAGGAAGGAAGGAAGGAAGGAAGGAAGGAAGGAAGGAAGGAAGGAAGGAAGGAAGGAAGGAAGGAAGGAAGAACTGTGGGGTCCTTGACGCTCTCTGAGCTGGGTGGTTTTCTTGCAGACATTTCATGACCCAACTAGGGAACATCATCAGTGCCAGAAAGGAGGGGGCTTTGCCCTGTCTGTGGGTGGGAATGTTCTTGGTGGTTCCTTGATTAGGCTGTTGAGAGACCAACCTCCCCTCCTTCTAGCACTGATGATGTTCCCTAGTTGGGTCCTGAAAATATCTGTAAGAAAACAGCCAAGCTCAGAGAGCACCAAAGCCTGCCTTTGCGGAGAGGTGTGCACGAGTGCCAGTTGGAAGTGTGGCCATTACAAGCTGCCTCTGTTTTGTGATTCCCACATTATCCCCAGGGTCGGGAGCACAGCGTGGTGCTCTTCTCACCAGGACGTGTCCAGGCCTGACAGTGGACAGGCTCTGGGTTCCTTAAGGCAGTGGGTCTTCTTATTGGCTGGCATAACTCCTGCCTGGTGCTCAGTAACTCCTGCCTGGTGCTCAGAGCCAGGAGGCCTTCTGTCACTCAGAAATGATCAAAAGCTCTTGGCCACTCAGAACTCTCCCCGAAATCAGACTAGAGTCCCCCGACACGGCTGCTTGAATTTTAGCATTTTTATGAATAAGATGGCTGCATATTTGAGCTCAGGCTGGTTGAGGGACAAACAGCCTGGAGGCTGAATCTGATTCCTGGTTTTTTTTTCCTCCCCCCCCCCTCCGCAGCGACTGAACTCGGCAATAATCTACGATCGGGATTTTTCCTACAACTACTTTGGCTTTAAGGTAAAGCGGAGATTTATCTGTTTACTTATTTGTATCCTGCCTTCTGTTATGTTCGCAAATAACTCAAGGAGGCGAACAGTGCTGGGCTGCATTAACAGAGGGAGAGAATCAGGATCACGTGAAGGGTTAATACCACTTTACAAGGCCTTGGTAAGGCCACACTTGGAATCCTGCATCCAGTTTTGGTCACCAGGATGTAAAAAAGATGCTGAGACTCTAGAAAGAGTGCAGAGAAGAGCAGCAAAGATGATTAGGGGACTGGAGGCTGAAACATATAAGGAACGGCTGCTGGAATTGGGTATGTCCAGTTTAATGAAGAGAAGGACGAGGGGGGACATGATAGCAGAGTTCCAATATCTCAGGGGCTGCCCCAAAGAAGAAGGAGTCAAGCTATTCTCCAAAGCGCGCGAAGGCAGGACAAGAAGCAACGGATGGAAACTCATCAAGGAGAGAAGCAACCTGGAACTAAGGAGAAACTTCCTGACAGTGAGAACAATTAACCAGTGGAACTCCCTGCCTCCAGAAGCGGTGAATGCTCCAACACTGGAAGTTTTTAAGAAGAGACTGGACAGCCATTTGTCTGAAATGGTACAGGGTTTCTTGCCTGAGCAGGGGGTTGGACCAGATGACCTCCAAGGTCCCTTCCAACATTATTATTATTATTAACACACACAATACTCCTTCCTCCTCCACGTCTCACCCCCCAAACAGCAACCCTGTGAGGTAGATTTGCCTGAGAGAGAAGGACTAGCCTAAATTGAAGTAAAACCTGGTTTTACTTCTAGGATGGCTTTTTGGGGACAGTTGAGGAAATGCACCTGGAAAGGGCTTTTTCTAGGCTGAGGCCGGGAGCTGCAGGTGCCCAAGCAAAGCTTTGGAGCCGCGTCCTGTTGCGCCCTTCTGGTTCCAGACCACGTGGGGGGGGGGCTGGGGGGAAGGAGGATGTGGGGCAGTTATTGCAAGCACCTTTGGGGACTGATAATAGATTTAAAGTAAGTTGTTGGTGATCAAAGATGGTATTATTTTATTGTCCCTTGGCACTGATTTTTTTTTTTTTAAATCTTCCAGACTCTGGAGCGCTCCTATCTTCTGAAAATCAATTCTAAAGGTTTGTGCTGTGGGCTGAATTCTTTGTACAATGGTTCATTTTTTTTTGAATTGTTGATAAAACTTGGCCCAAAAAAACAGGAGGGGGGGGGCGCACCTTTGGAACTGCCTGAGATCAAAGTGGCTCTTCCAGAAAACCATCAGGCGAGGAATGGTTGATCTGGCATTCCTCAAAAGGTTTCTGGCTGTTCCAGGAGGTCTCAACAAACAGGATGGGCTTTCAACATACCAGGAATTGTTGTTTGATTAGGTCCTGGGGAGTGACCTCCAGTGGGACCCTCGTGGGCGACCCGCCTTCTTCCCTACTTACTGCCCCCAGTTTAAATCCTACACGAGTTAACCGCTTGACGCATCTGAACCGCAATTCACGAAACTTTCTGCCTTTTAATGACATTTGAAAGAGGGGCTCTCGAGTGCCTGAAATTTTCTGAAAAGGGGGAGTAACCCAGCTCTCTCCCCCCCCAACCTGGGGGAGGAATCCCTCATGAAGGTAGTCCTTGACTTAGGACAACTGGGGCCAGGATTTCTGTCGCTAAGCAAGGCCTTGTTAAGTGAGCCCCACACGAGTTCAGGACTTTTTTTTTTGCCCACAGTCGTTAGAATCAATCCGGCTGTTAAGTGAGTCACGTAGTTGTTAAGTGGATCTGGCTTCCCCCGTTGACTTTGCGTGTCAGAGGCCGGCTGGGAAGGTCACACATGGGGACCACGTGACACCCCTCCTCCCCCCCTGGGATGCTGCAATTGTTGGCCAAGCTCCCAAATTTCAATCACATAATGGGATGCTACAATGGTCGTAAGGGTGAGGACCGGTAGTAAGTCAGTTTTGTCAGTGCTGTTGTAAATTTGAGCTGTCAGTAAACAAATCAAGGACTACAAATATGGCTAATGCCAAAGGCAGGGGCCATTTAAGCCCCCTCCCCCACAAGCAGAGTTTTGTCCTTATTCCCTGGGGGAGTCTCAATGTCTTCCAAGGGGGCAGCCTCCCTGCACCTCCTGGGAGCCCAGCCTCTTCTGCAACTCCTCTGAGCAGCTCAAAAGTGCCCTTGAACTCCCGGCTGCACCAGAGGTTCAGGTGACCCCCCCAGCCCCTCCATCTTCCGGCCTGGTCTTTTCTGATTGGGTGGGGGGCAGTGTTGTGTCCTTGCAGCAGTTTCGCCATCGGTTTTTGTCTCTGGCTTCAAGGACACCCAAATCAGGAGAAATGCAGCTAGTCCTCACCTTCCTGCCATAACGGGGCCTGCCCATTTGGGTTGTAAAGCGGGTCGGCACATGACCAACCCAATTTCATGATCTTTTTGTGCGCAGCGGTTGTTGCACAAATCACCGCGGTCATTAAGCAAACGCCATGGTCATTAAGCGAACACTATCGTTCCCTACAGGCTATTTCTGCCCCAATCCAGAAGGGCGCTGAATGGCTGGCAACAAAAAGATCATAAATAGTGGTCGGGGGATTCTGCAAAGAGCTGCAAATCGGGTGTCGTTGCACAAGAGCCCCAAAGGTGGCCATGATTTGGGGGGGAGGGTTCTTCGGAATCAGATCCTAAGTACCTTTTGGGTGCTCCCCTGTAACTTTGGACAGTCACTAAGCAAGCAGTTGTAAGTCAAGGACTACCTGTAGGTGTGGGGAGGGTCTCTCTCCCACCTAGCCCAGTGCGCAACCGTCACCCAGCCGCAGCGACTCTCTGCTCCCCCCGCTAAGTGGCACCTTCCCCTGCCTTCTCTGCCTGCAGTGGCCGAGCGCCCCCAGCACATGCTGATGAGGGTCGCGGTGGGCATCCACAAGGGCGACATCGAGGCCGCCATAGAGACCTACAACCTCCTGTCCGAGAAGTGGTTCACCCACGCCTCCCCCACCCTCTTCAACGCCGGCACCAACCGCCCTCAGCTCTCCAGGTAAAAGGGTTAGGGGGCCTGGCTGGCCGGCCAGTTGGCTGAGCATTGGGGGAGGAACTGCTAGAGAAGCCGAGCAACTTGGAAGGTCTGAGACGGAGGCCCCCAGCCTTTGGGGCACCAGGGAACGGTTCCGTGGGGAGAGGTTATTACGTGGACCGGAGGGGGTGTGGTTGTGTGTGCTGCCTGCATCCCACGGATGGGGCTTTGCTTGTTGGTGCGGACTGGCTGCTCGCATGCTGCCACCCGACACTGGTCCACAGGCCGGGGTTGGGGACCCCTGGTATAAGAAAGTGGGGGCTGCTTCCGGGATAGAGTCTAACCCCAGTTGCTCTTCAGGTGGGTGCAGCAGTAATAATAATAGTAATAATAATAACAATAAATAATAATAATAAAAATAATCTGCAAAAAATATCATTTGCCTGTAAGCAAAAACTGGTGGGATCATAAAATAGAGAAAGTCATAGAAAATGATAAAATTAAACTGCTCTGGGACTTCAGAATTCAAACAGACAAGCACCTGCAACATAACACCCCAGACTTAACAATTGTCGATAAGAAAGACAAAAAAGTCTGGATAGTGGACGTGGCAGTGCCTGGAGACAGCAGAATAGACGAGAAAGAACTGGAGAAGATAACAAAATACAAAGACCTACAAATAGAAATAGAAAGACTGTGGCAAAAGCAAGCAAGGGTAGTACCAATAGTATAGGCTCCTTGGGTGCAATCCCAAAACAACTGGAGCACCACTTGAACACCATTGGCATTGACAAATTCGCTATTAGTCAATTGCAAAAGGCGGCCTTATTAGGAACTGCTTCCATCCTGCGACGATACCTGTAATACCATCAAACATCCACATCTGCCTATCCCAGGTCCTGGGTAAGGACTCGATAGGTAGACAAAATGCCAAATCCAGTCTGAACATCTGGCTGACTGTGCGATGATCCATAATAATAATAATAATAATAATAATAATAATAATAATAATAATAATAATAATATAAAGTTGGAAGGGACTTTGGAGGTCATCTAGTAGCGCCCTTCATTCTGCAGCTTGGGGCCGTAGCTGGGTTTGGGGATCCGTGTCCAATTCCGGCATCTTGAGGGCAGCAGCAAAAAAAGACTGAAGGACTTTTTCAGTGGTTGGGCCCTGCTGCAATCGCCCTTAGACTTATATCCCTCTTCACAGTGCTTTACAGCCCTCTAGGCGGTTTAAAGGGTCGGCCTCTTGCCCCCCCCAACAATCTGGGTCCTCGTTTTACTGACGGATGGAAGGCTGAGTCAACCTTGAGCCGGTCAGGATCGAACTGCTGGCCATGAGAACGCAGAGTTAAGCTTGCAATTCTGTATTTTAACCCGTGCGCCAGACCAGGGCTCTTGTAGTCTGCAATCCCTTGTAAAGGGCAAGATAACTTGTAATGGGGGCCTTGGGAAATTTATCCAAGTTAGTTTGACTAGGAAAGGCCTTAATTGCGAAAACAGACTTAGTGCTTTATTGGGCCAACTGTGGTTAGACATGCAAGGAATTTGTCTCTGGTAGAGAAGCTCTGGGTATACTTGAAAACAGCAGAATACGATGATAATAATAGTAAAGTGTACAGCCAATAAAGGGGGGAAGCAAAAAAATAATACAAGGGATAAAGATGCTGTCGCCATGCTCAATGGGTTAATGTACATACATATTAAAGCAAAAGCAGAAGTGCCTGTATTTTATCAGCTGGGAGATAAGGGGGTTCGGCAGAGTGATAGCCCGAGGGAAGACACTGTCCCTGTGCCTGCTGTATAAACAAGCCAAGATGACCTAAGCCAGGGGTAGGCAACCTTGGCTCTTTTATGACTCGTGGACTTCAACTCCCAGAATTCCTGAGCCAGCATGGGGGAAACTTTGGCCCCTTCATGACTCGGGGACTTCAACTCCCAGAATTCTTCAGCCAGCATGGGGGAACTCTGGCCCCTTCATGACTGGTGGACTTCAACTCCCAGAATTCCTTAGCCAGCATTGGGGGGGGGGGAAAACTTTGGCCCCTTCATGACTGGTGGACTTCAACTCCCAGAATTCCTGAGCCAGCCTGGCTCAGCTTGGAAACCTCCCCCTTTTCCCTCAGCATGGCTGGCTCAGGAATTCTGGGAGTTGAAGTCCACGAGTCATAAAAGAGCCAAGGTGGCCTACCCCTGACCTAAGCAGTTAGATTTGGGTTTGGCAGTCTAGCCATCTTGCTGGAAGGGGGAAAAAAAGAATTCCAGGCTTGGGGCTGACCTCCACAGGGGTCTGGAGGGGACCTCGCTGTACTGGAGGCTGCCATTCTCGTTTTTCTTCCCCTCCAGCTGCTTTCTCCTCTGCATGAAGGATGACAGCATTGAGGGCATCTACGACACGCTGAAGCACTGCGCCCTCATCTCCAAGTCTGCGGGGGGAATCGGGGTGGCCGTGAGCTGCATCCGGGCCACCGGCAGCTACATCGCCGGGGTGCGTCTGCGGCGGGCAGCCCACATGAATCCCTGCAGGCCCCACCAGTGGATTCTTGGAACTGCCGCTGGCCCTGCCCCCCTCGCTAAGCAGCAGCGAAGGTCTCTGCCTCCGTGGGTCCAGCTCACCGTCTCCAATCTTTTGATTTTTCAGACCAACGGCAACTCCAATGGGCTGGTCCCCATGTTGAGGGTCTACAACAACACGGCTCGCTACGTGGACCAAGGGGGGAATAAGGTAGGCGGTCGTCTCCCAAGGTTGCTGGTGGAGACTTGGGTGGTCAAGGACAAACCCAGGATTGATTCACCATCGCAGGCATAGTTTGTGTTTTTAATTTTTTTTATTAAGTAAACATTTAAAAACAGGTTGAACACAGTGTAACTTTTCTGGCTGTTATTTTGCCATACATACTATACCATATCCCAGTGGTTCTCAACTTTTTTAATGCCGCGACCCCCCCCCCCCAACCAGTCGTAAGTCGAGGACTACTCAACTGGTGCAGCACCGTTTGCAGAATGGGACTTTTGGCGGGCTCAGCAGGGCAGAGACAGCCTGGACAATTCCTGTTGGCTTTGGAAAGCCAATAGAATTAGATTCTATTCAAGAGAGTCTATTCTATTGGCTTTCAAAAGCCAACAGAATAAAAGGGAGTAGCACAGCTAAGGAAAAGGGGGGGGGGGAAATGGCAGAGTGCATTGTTTGGCGACCCCCATGAAATGGTCGTTCGACCCCAAATGGGGTCCCGACCCACAGGTTGAGAACCACTGCTATATACCATATATCTTCCTAGTCATTGATCTTTTATACCATTTACATATTGCATTTTATACTATTTACATACTTATATATTTACATACATATTTACATCTATTTATAACATAATTTACATTTCCATTCTTATTTCATATTCTTTCTGATCCCTATCTTATGCTCACTTTGAGGTTGGAAATCTATACTTTCTCTCTTCTAGACGAGCTTTTTTTCTGTTCCGACTTTTTTCTCCTTGAGTCTAACCAAGAGTATATCTTATCCCAAACTTCGTAATACTCTGTTTCATCTCAGGCATCGTTTAAAGCAGGACTCTCCAGTAAGACGGGTGGACTTCAACTCCCAGAATTCCTCAGCCGGCCATGCTCGTTATCCATGACGAGCTGAGGAATGCTGGGAGTTGAAGTCCACAGGTCTTGAAGTGGCCAAGGTTGGAGGCCCCTGCTGTAAAGGAAGGTGCTGTCTCTGGCCAGGTTGAAGGTATCTCCCAGCAAAGTGGAGAGAAGAGCAACTAAGATGATTAAAGGTCTGGAGGCTAAAACACATGAAGAACGGTTGCAAGATTTGGGTATGTCTAGTTAGAGAAAAGAAGGACTGGGGGGGACAGGATAGCAGTCTTCCAGCATTTGAGGGGCTGCCCCAAAGAGGAGGGGGCCAACTTATTCTCCAAAGCCCCCGAAGGCAGGACAAGAAGCAACGGATGGAAACTCATCAAGGAGAGAAGCAGTAAGGAGAAAGTTCCTGACAGGGAGGACAGTCAATCAGTGGAAGGGCTTACCTTTAGAAGTCGGTGCTCCATCCCTGGAGGTTTTTATAATGATAATAATAATAATAATAACAACAACAACAGCAGCAACAACAACAACAACAACAATAATAATAATAATAATAAAAAATTGGAAGGGACCTTGGAGGTCATCTAGTCCAACCCCCCACTCAGGCAGGAAACCCTACACCATTTCAGAAAAAGGGCTGTCCAGTCTCTTCTTAAAAACCTCCAGTGTTGGAGCTTTCACCGCTTCTGGAGGCAGGTGATTCCACTGGTTGATTGTTCTGACTGTCAGGAAGTTTCTCCTTAGTTCTAGGTTGCTTCTCTCCTTGATTAGTTTCCACCATTAGTTTCTTGTCCTGCCTTCAGGTGATTTGGAGAATAGCTTGACTCCCTCTTCTTTGGGGCAACCCCTGAGATACTGGAAGACTGCTATCTTGTCCCCCCTTGTCCTTCTTTTTATTAAACTGGACATACCCAATTCCAGCAGCCGTTCCTTATATGCTTTAGCCTCCAGTCTCCTAATCATCTTTGTTGCTCTTCTCTGCACTCTTTTTTTAAGAGGAGACTGGACAGCCATTTGTCTCGAAGGGTAGAGGGTCTCCTGCTTGAGCAGGGGGTTGGACTAGAAGACCTCCAAGGTCCCTTCCAGCTCTATGCTGAACTGAGGAGGGTCGGAAGGCTGCTGGACTGGAGGGTCTGGAAAGGGCCCCCAGAAGCGCAGCCAGGGCGGAGACGGGCTGAAGGGGGTTTTGGGGCTGGTCTCCACTGCGACGTTGTCTTTTCTTTCCGGCAGAGACCCGGGGCCTTTGCCATCTACCTGGAGCCCTGGCACTTGGACATCTTTGAGTTCCTCGACCTGAAGAAGAACACCGGGAAGGAAGAGCAGAGGGCCCGGGACCTCTTCTACGCGCTCTGGATCCCGGACCTCTTCATGAAGCGGGTGGAGAGCAACCAGGTACAGGGGTGGCGGCTGGGTCCTCCCATCCTTGGTGGGACCAGCTGGGGGGACGGGGTGGGTGGGCGAAGGGGAGCCCCTCCGTGGCCACAGAGCAAAACTGAATCGTGGTATTTGAGGCCTGGAACGGCTCACGCTTGTTCTTCTGGGCTCCTCTTGAATTGTTCAGACACTCTGCCCTTCCTGAACTTCTGTTTAAGGTTGTTATTAACACAGGAAAGTTAATTTGCAGAAGGAAAGCGTACGGGCAGTCCTTGACATACGACTGGTCAATTAGCAACCGTCCGAAGTCACTCCTGCCCCAAAGTGCTCCCAGTCCAGTTCTGAGGGGCTCCTCCCTCGTGGCCACATGACTGCGTGTCAGGTGCTGGGCAACTGCCCACATTTGCAGTGCCCTGCGGTTGCCAGGCTTCGTTTTTGCACCCTTACAGCAAAAACATCCCATAGTGAACAGTGGGTTCGCTTTATGACCTTGGTGCTAACAACTGCAGGAGAAAAGGTGGTCAGATCGGGTGAATGCAGTCCTGCTTGGGGCATGAAAGACAGCTGGGTGACCCTGGGCTGGTCTTTCGCTCTCAGCTCAAGCACAAGCACACACACACACAAACACACACACACACACACCAGGCAGGACCAGTGGGTGGAAGCTGGCCCAACCTGGAAATGAGGGATTTCCCAACAGGGAGACCAGTCAGTCAGTGGAACGGAAGTTGCCTCCTGGAGTTGTGACTCCTCCATCCTTGGAGATTTTCAAGAAGAGACTGGACAGCCATTGGTCTCAAATTGTAGAGGCTCTGCTGCTTGTGCAGGGGGATGGACTAGAAGACCTCCAAGGTCCCTTCCAGCTCTGTGATTCTGTACCTTTTACGGGGGGGGGAGGCAGGCCGAAGGCTCTGGCTGCTCCTCTGAGCTTTCCCTCCGGCGATGCTCCTGATGTGGGAGCCTCGGGGCTGCAGCGGGAAGCCCTCCCAGAGCGAGCCTCTTTCTCCTGGATGGGGGTCTCCTGACCCCCTCCCCTGGAGCCGACCTTTCCCCCCCCCTCCTTCAACAGGACTGGTCCCTGATGTGTCCGAACGAATGTCCGGGTCTCGATGAGGTCTGGGGAGAAGAGTTTGAGCGCCTCTACGAAAGGTAGGAATGACCGGCTGGGCCGGGAGGGGCAAAATGGAACCGGCAGAATTTCTGCAGGATGTTTCGGGATGCGTCTACCTCAGAAAAGGGACAGGTTCGTCAAGCACAGCACCGGATTTCCCGAGGGAGACGTGAGGGTGTTTTGGTGAAACTAAATGTAATGATAGAAGCTGCCCAGGGGCAGTTCAGCATTGCAACGAACACAGCAATAAAATGCTAAGCCAGGGGTTCTCAACCTTGGCCACTTTAAGACTTGTGGACTTCAATTCCCAGAATTCCTCAGCCAGCTTTGCTGGCTGAGGAATTCTGGGAGTTGAAGTCCACAAGTCTTAAAGTGGCCAAGGTTGAGAACCCCTGCTCTTTACGGTCCCTGCCTTGCCCTGCCCACCATCCTAACCTCTCGACGCGTTCCGTGCAAGGTCTCTGGCATAACACCCAGCAATGCAGCCACGGAGGAAGCCCCCCCCCCCAGAACAAGGACAAGCTATCGTCAGCCGAGACAGAGTGGGGGGCTGTGGTCGGCTGGGGGGTCCCTCCAGAGAAAGGGCTCCAGCCTCAATCAGGCTAGAGCAGCGAGGGGCTCTGGAGGTCTCCTAGTCCAGCCCCCACTGAGCCGTACCCACCACCCCGGCCCAGGTGGCTGCAATCTGCGTGGCTCTCGGGGGCAGCCCCCCAGGCAGGGCAGGGTCATGGACCCGCTGAGAGGCAGGCCGGAGCTTTGCTGGCTGAGGAATTCTGGGAGTTGAAGTCCACAAGTCTTAAAGTGGCCAAGGTTGAGAACCCCTGTAAGCTTAGTCACTTCACTCAAACTGGGAAGGAGAGGGCCAGAGGTCTGAAGAAGCCCGCCAGTTCTGGAGGACCCAACTAGTGCTTCCTCCCTTGGGCCTGGTGGATGAGGCCCTCTCTCCCAGGGGGTCTCCCAGGGGCTCCATCCAGCAGGTTGGGAGGGGGCACAGAGGGGACCTTGGGCTGCAGGACCACCAGTAGGGAGAAGGGCTGTTTCCTCTCTGTTGAGTTGGGAGGCCTGTCCCCATGCCCAAGGGGCTCGGGGGGGGCAGGTGGCTGCTCTGTGTTGGGAGCTGCTGCCCCCCCCCGGCTGGAGGAGGCTGGGGCAGGTGTAGCCCCAGTTTCGCTATCCTGTGTTGTGAATGAGCAGGTGAGAGTTGTGATGGATCAGAAGTTGGATAATAAGAACATAAATTAAAGCCAACTAAGTCCATCTGCAGCCAGAGCCCGGATCGGGCTGTCCCTGCTTGAGCAGGGGGTTGGACTAGAAGACCTCCAAGGTCCCTTCCAGCTGTGTTGTCCTGCATTTCTGCTTGGATTGAGCAGTGGAGGTGACTCCCCCGACTCACCCCGTCTGGCCTGGAGGGGGTCAGTGTGTTTTCTGGGCAGGGACACTCCCCCCCCACCGGTGACCCGTCGTGCGCCCGGTCTGTGGGCTGAGGGGGGGGGGAAGGTGGTCTGGAAGCCCCCTGCTTTCCCCCTCCAGCTACGAGAAGCAGGGCCGGGTGCGCAAAGTGGTGAAGGCCCAGCAGCTGTGGTACGCCGTGATTGAGTCTCAGACGGAGACGGGGACGCCCTACATGCTCTACAAGGACTCCTGCAACCGGAAGAGCAACCAGCAGAACCTGGGCACCATCAAGTGCAGCAACCTCTGCACCGAGATCGTGGAGTACTCCAGCCAGGACGAGGTGGGCCTCCTCCCTCCTCCTCCTCCTCCTCCTCCCACCTTCCCTCTCCTTCTCTCCTTCCCTGCTCTTCCTTCCCCTCACCTCCAATTCCATGCCCGTCTTCCTTTCCTTTCTTTTCCTTCTTTCCCTCCTTCCTTTTTTCTTTCCTTCCTTCCTTCCTTCCTTCCTTCCTTCCTTCCTTCCTTCCTTTCTTTCTTTCTTTCTTTTTCCTCCTCCTGCTCCTCTTCCTTCCCTCTTTCCTTCCCTCCTTCATTCCTTCCTTCTTTCTTTTCCTTTCCTTCCTTCTTTCTTTTCCACCTTCCTTCCTTCCTTTTTTCTTTCTTTCTTTCCAACCTCCCTTTCTCCTTCCTTCCTTTCTTCCTTCCTTTCTTTCTTTCTTTCTTTCTTTCTTTCTTTCTTTCTTTCTTTCTTTCTTTCTTTCTTTCTTTCTTTCTTTCTTTCTTTCTTTCTTTCTTCTTCCTCCTCCTCCTGCTCTTCCTCCCTTCCCTCCTTCCTTCCCTCCTTCCATCCTCCCTTCTTCATTCCTTCTTTCTTTCCTTCCTTTCTTTTCCTCCTTCCTTCTTTCTTTTCCTTTCTTTCCTCCCTCCCTTTCTTCTTCCTTCCTTCCTTCCTTCCTTCCTTCCTTCCTTCCTTCTCCTCCCTCCCTCCCTCCCTCCCTCCCTCCCTCCCTCCCTCCCTCCTTTCTTTCTTTCTTTCTTTCTTTCTTTCTTTCTTTCTTTCTTTCTTTCTTTCTTCCCGTCCCCTGTCCCTTTCAGCCAAACCCAGAAGGGTGTCCGAAAGGGATCTGAGGGCCCTCCAGCCCTTCCCTACTTCCTTACCTGATCCAGAACTTTCCTTTGGGGCCAGGGCCTGGGCAAGTCTGGCCATGATGGGGAGACAAGGTGGAGCCCCCCCTCCCTTCTCTCCCCACAGCCCTTTAAATTCCTGGCATTGCTGGGCGTTGACCAAGAGAGTTTGAAGGGAATTAGGGGTGGGAAAGGAACGGCGGGACCCCCTCGCCCGGGCCAGAGTTCGGAATCGGGACACCGGGCGGTCCAAGGGCTCAGCTTCCGTTGGGGCAGGGGTCTCCAGGGGAGGAGGAGGGGTGCCCTGGAGAGGAGGCCCACGGGAGCATCTCCCTCCGCTTGCACCCTCCAGGTGGCCGTCTGCAACCTGGCCTCCATAGCCCTGAACATGTACGTGACGCCGGAGCACACCTACGACTTCCAGAAGCTGGCCGAGGTCACCAAGGTCATCGTCCGGAACCTGAACAAGATCATCGACATCAACCATTACCCGGTGGTGGAGGTACCCGGGGGGGCGAGGAGGCGGGAGGGAAGGTGGCAGGGGGGCAGCTGGGGGGGAGGGCACGGAGGGAGGCTTGCACAGCAGCCCCCCCCCAGGGATGCCGCTCACGAGGTTACGACTGAGCAGGCGAAAAAGCTTTGAGACGTTCCTTTCTCTTCCTCCAAACTTCGTTGAGGACGTCACTTCAGTCTGGAGTAGCCCCCCCTCCCCTGATCCTCTCCCAGCGCTTAGGCCAGTGGTTCTCAACCTTTTTAATGCCGCGACCCCCAACCGGTCGTAAGTCGAGGACTACTCAACCGGCGCAGCCCCGTTTGCAGAATGGGACTTTTGGCGGGCTCAGCAGGGCAGAGACAGCCTGGACAATTCCTATTGGCTTTGGAAAGCCAATAGAATGAGACTCTGTTCAAGAGAGTCTATTCTATTGGCTTTCCAAAGCCAATAGAATAAAAGGGAGTAGCACAGCTAAGGAAAAGGGGGAAAAATGGCGGACAGCCTTGTTTGGCGACCCCTGTGAAATGGTCGTTCGACCCCAAATGGGGTCCCCACCCACAGGTGGAGAACTGCTGGCTTAGGGGACAACTGGCTTCAAGGCCTTACGGAAGGCCCCAGGATGGCCAGGCATCCGGGAGGGGCAGAGGGGGTCCCTGGGGTGGGGGCAGCCAGGAAGAGCACCGGCTTCCTAGCTCCCATCAGATGGCCCTATTTAGGGGAAGGGGCTGGGGGGGGGGCAGATCCACCCCAGTTCTCGGAGGCGAGGCCAGCTGAGCCCCCTTCCCTCCCTCCCCCTGTCTCCCCAGGCCGAGACCTCCAACCGGCGCCATCGCCCCATCGGCATCGGGGTGCAGGGCCTGGCCGACGCCTTCATCCTCATGCGCTTCCCTTTCGAGAGCCCCCAGGCCCAGCGGCTCAACCAGCAGATCTTCGAGACCATCTACTACTGGGCGCTGGAGGCCAGCTGCGAGCTGGCCAGGGAGCAGGGGCCCTACCAGACCTACCAGGGCAGCCCTGTCAGCAGAGGGGTGAGTGTGGGGGGGGGGGCTCGGGCTGGGGGGAGGGGGCCTGGGAGGGGGGAGGTCCGGATTGGCCCCGGGAGGCTGCTTGGGGCTGGCACGCTTCGCCCTGGAAAGAGCCGGTCTCTTGAGCCGTGAGCTTTGGACGCAGAATCCGAGCGGGGTTCTCGGTGCCGAGTTCAGGGGTTTCCTTGCAGACGTTTCGGGAACATTCTCAGGGCTGCTGCGGTTCCCGAAAATAAGCCCTAGCTTGATATTTACTTGTCCCACCTTCTGTGGCCGCTCACGGCTAGATGCCACGTGCTACATTGCTCCGGTGCTGCCGCTCGTGGCTGGATGCTGTGTGGCATCCTGTGCCATGGTGCACGCGAGCGGCGGCACGGGTGTGATGTGCCACGTGGCCCGTCGCAAGGGGCAGCACCAGAGCAACAACCTGTGTGGCTTGTCGCGAGGGGCAGTCCGGGTGCAATGTGCCATGCGGCTGCAAGCGGCCACGGAACAAGTCGGCCAGTGGCGTGACGGGCATCAGGGCATGGGAGGTCTGGCTGCAGCAGTCCTAAGGTGAGTGGGTAGGACATAGGACATCCCTCCAGAATAAAACCCGGTGCCAAAATATATTTAAGATGGGGTCTTGTTTTCTGGGAAACGCAGTATCGGCAGCGGCAGCACTGATGGTGTTCCCTAGCTGGGTCGTGAGATGTCTGCGTGGTGCCTGCCTGCCTTTTCAAACCCCAAGAATCTCTGCAGGGTCCAGCTGGACAGGCAGCCCCCTCCTCCCCCCTTGCCCCCCCTTGGCGAGAGCATTTCGCAGGCCCTGCTCTGTGGGGATGTTGGGGGGCCTCCCTTGTGGGGCGGATGGGTGAACTGCCTCCCCTCCCTCCCTCCCGCAGGTCCTGCAGTACGACATGTGGAACGTGACCCCCACCGACCTCTGGGACTGGGGCGCCCTGAAGGCAAAAATCGCTCAGTGAGTAGGAGACCCTACTCGCCCCCCTACTCCTTCACCCCCTGCTGTGGGGGGGGAACATGCCCCTGCCCTTTTCCCGGAGTGCTACTGGAGCCTCCTGGGCCCCTGCCAGCCCCCCCCCCCTTTTCTCCTTCCCACGTGTGTGTTGTGGTTCCGGCTAATGAAACATTCCAGAGAACTTCCAGGCATTTATTTTCCTAAAAAGTCTTTTATTGTTACAAAATGTCGGCACAGGCACAAGGGAGGGATGCTAGGATCTAAGTTCTCTTCCTCTGAGCAGTTCAATTATCAGCATGTTCCCTCCCTAACTTAGCCGTCATATCTCACATTATCCAATTAGTATGAAGGTCAAAGGTTTTCTTCCTCTTTCTTTCCCGGGCTTTACCCCCAACCCCCCTTCTGCTCTGTATTAACCCCATCATTACCAGACAATTCTCCATATTGTCAAAAGCAAGAATATACAATATTTGCAGTGTTGACAGTGTGTGTGTGTGTGTGTGTGTGTGTGTGTGTGTGTTCCAGGCACGGGGTCAGGAACAGCCTCCTGGTGGCCCCCATGCCCACGGCCTCCACGGCACAGATTCTGGGGAACAACGAATCGGTGGAGCCCTACACCAGCAACATCTACACCCGCCGGGTGCTCTCGGGGGAGTTCCAGGTGAGGGGGGCCATCCCTGGGGGCCCTGGGAGGAGGGGGCAGTGGGGGGGGGACGAAGGGCAGGGCCGCCCCCCCCCATGGTTTGTGCAGCAGGGGCCGTGAGCCTCAGGGCTCCAGGCTCCTTTCCATTGCTAAGCGGGGGAGGGTTTGATAAGTGGGCCGCACCTGATTTCCCAACCTTTTTTGCTGCGGTCGTTAAACGAGTCACTGCAGTCATTAAGTGAGTCAGATGGCTGTTAAGCAAATCCGGCTTCCCCGACTCTGACTTTCTTTGCCTGTCGGAAGCCGGTTCGGAAGGCGGCAAAGGGGGATCGCGTGACCCTGGCTACCGTCATGAATACAGCCAGTCCTCGGCCTATGACCACAGTTGAGCCCAACATTTCCGTTACTAAGCGAGACAGCGGTTGAGCAAGCACCGTCCCATTTTACGACTTTTCTTGCCACAGTTGCTAAGTGAATCACTACAAATATTAAGTTACGTACTCGTTAAGTGAATCCCTCTTTCCCCCCATTGACTTGGCTTGCCCAGAAGGTCAAAAAAGGGGGTCACGTGACCCCCCCGGGACGCTGCAACTGTCGTAAATATGAAACCAGTTGCCGACTGACTGAATTTTGATCACGTGACTCGGGGGGAATGCCGCAATAGTCGTGCAATAAGTGGGGGGGGGGGGAACCAGTCCTAAGTCAGTTTGGCATTGTTGTAACTTTGAATGGTGGCTAAACGAATGGCTGTATCTTGAGGACTAGTCTGTGGGGGAAGCTCACTGTCTCCACCGGAGGAGGGCTCGCGGTTGGAGATGGGCCACAGATGGGCTGAAAGGGGGGTGATTTTGGGGGGGGTGAAGGCCTGGTGCCTGACGTGGCTGTTGGTGTTTTGGGGTGGCAGATAGTGAACCCCCACTTGCTGAAGGACCTGACTGAGCGGGGCCTGTGGAACGAGGAGATGAAGAACCAGATCATTGCCTTCAGCGGCTCCATCCAGGTACGTCCGGCCCATGGTGCTGGGCCCGGCCAGAGGGCCCCCCTCCCCCAGTTCTCAGCCCTGCCCCAGAGGCTGTGTGTGGGGGCGCCGCTCAGCTCGGCCCGGCTTGCGCCACGGAAAACCTACACGGCTGTGCAAGGCAAGGGACCCTTTGTACCCCAGACCTAATCTAGCACTCCTTCGTTGTGGAACCGCCTTTCTCTTATCCAGGGCTGTTGTGTAGGTCACACAACGCAGGCTGTTGTGCAATAGACAAAAATGCAGACTGCCCAAGGAGTTTGTTTTCATTGCCTAGGCCAGTGGTTCTCAACCTTTTTAATGCCGTGACCCCCAACCAGTCGTAAGTCGAGGACTACTCAACCGGTCGTAAGTCGAGGACTACTCAACTGGTGCAGCACCGTTTGCAGAATGGGACTTTTGGCGGGCTCAGCAGGGCAAAGACAGCCTGGACAATTCCTATGGGCTTTTGAAAGCCAATAGAATTAGACTCTATTCAAGAGAGTCTATTCTATTGGCTTTCAAAAGCCAATAGAATAAAAGGGAGGAGCACAGCTAAGGAAAAGGGGGGGGGGAAATGGCGGACTGCGTTGTTTGGCGACCCCCGTGAAATGGTCGTTCGGCCCCAAATGGGGTCCCGACCCACAGGTTGAGAACTGCTGGCCTAGGAGAAGAATGCTGCTTCCTGTTTTTGGGAAAACCGCCCGGAAGGGTAGGAGGCTTTGAGGAAAGCAGGGGGGACAGGAGACGGAACGGCAGCCGTAGACCGGTCGCCGGGTAGACAAGCCAGCAAAAGTGATCTTTAGTTGGCCGCTTCCGCTCGGAAAGAGGCAGGAGAAGCGGGGAGAGTAGAGAAGGGAACGCTATGAAAACATGCAGGATAGGATTTGTTCTGTGAGATTTCGAAGAGAACTCGGCCTCATCCCTTGAAATAATGCAGATTCAGGAGCTACACAAGGCAGCGTGCACACACCCCAGCGTTAACAGGAGAATCCCCCACCGGTGGTCCTGAGGATGGCCGATGGGGAGGTCTTACAGGGATGGTGGTGTCTGGAGGGGTTCTTGGGGGGGGGGGGTCTGCCAATGTTTAGGGCTGCTTTCCAGCTCCTGAATCCCAGCAGTAGATAAGATAAGATAAGATAAGATAAGATAACCTTTATTGTCATTTTTTTTTACTGTGGGCCCAACGGCACACATCAAAAATGAAATTGAGTTGCCCGCTCTCAGAGTGAAATGCGTACATGACAGATACCTAACACAGTGGTTCTCAACCTTTTTAATGCCGCGACCCCCAACCGGTTGTAATTCGAGGACTAAACCGGTTGTAAGTCGAGGACTATACCGGTCGTAAGTCGAGGACTTCCCTGCCCGGGAGCACCGTGCATGCATGGTGCTGCCCCCTGCGCCAGCCGAGGCGTAGCTGGCAAGCGGCAGAGACGGAGCAGGCCGACCACCGGCTGGGCCACCAGCTGGCCCAGCCCAAGGGAGGTAAGGCACCCGCCGGAAAAGGGGGAAAAAATGGCGGACAAATGGGGTCGCGACTCATAAGTTGAGAACCGCTGACCTAAAACATACTATGTACAACATACGTATAGACCCACACCCCTACATATATGTAACAAATAAATATTAAATACCGTCCATCTTGAATATATAACGGAAGGAGGAAGCTTGAGAGTTCACAAGGTTAATGCCGTATGGAATGAAATATGGCAGCCCTCCATCATGGTTGCTCCTATCTAGGTTTGTGGGTTTCCTAAACAGCTGAGTAAAGTCTGGTGTAAGTGTGCTAAAGACCTGCTCTGGCACCAGGGCTCATCTGAGCTTTTTTGCAGTGACCCTTTAATGCAGGCCTTATATTTTTAATTTATTTCTACGTAGGCTTGTAGGTTTTGGCCTGTTCCGTTTTTAAACTGTATTTTATTCACGTACTTACAGAGTGTTATTATAGGATATCGTAAACTGCCCAGAGTCACCTAGCCGAGATGGGCGGTGTAGAACTTTAATCAATAAATAATGTTTTAAAAAGAAGATAGTTCTTCCTTGCAAAGGCCTTTTGCGCCTGGATCCCTGCAGAGAGGCTGCTGGGATTTCTCGCGCTCTTTCGGCTTTGAGCCGAGCTTCCCGCCAGCTCTTAACCGCCCAGAGATCCACCTGGCTGCTCTTTTGCCCCCCCAGAACATCCCGGAGATTCCCGAGGACCTGAAGCAGCTCTACAAGACGGTGTGGGAGATCTCCCAGAAGACCGTCCTGAAGATGGCCGCTGACCGGGGGGCCTTCATCGACCAGAGCCAGTCTCTGAACATCCATATTGCGGAGCCCAACTACGGGAAGCTGACCAGCATGCACTTCTACGGCTGGAAGCAGGTGAGTGGGGAGGGTGGGCGGCTGGGAGTGGGAGCAGAGGAAGCAGGCAGCCTTTTAGGGCACCCCCTGTAGTAGTGGGCTGGGGAGGCCCAGGAAGCTGATTGGCTCACCCTGAACAGACCAACTGTAAAAAAAAAACCTGATGATGTTGCCTAGTTGGGTTATGAAACATCTGGAAGAAAACAACCAAGTTCAGAGAGCACTCTCCTGGCGATTGGCCAGTCACCCAGCCAGCTTCCATGACTAAGGCGGGACTAGAGCTCACCATCTTCTGGTGATTGGCCAGTCACCCAGCCAGCTTCCATGACTAAGGCGGGACTAGAACTCCCTGTCTCCTGGCGATTGGCCTAGTCATCCAGCCAACTTTTGTGCCTAAGGCAGGACTAGAACTCACCGTCTCCTGGCAATTGGCCAGAGTCACCTGGCCAGCTTGCATGACTAAGGCGGGACTAGAGCTCACCGTCTCCTGGTGATTGGCCAGAGTCACCCAGCCAACTTTTGTGCCTAAGGCGGGACTAGAACTCATGGTCTCCTAGCGATTGGTCCAAAATCACCCAGTTAGCTTTCAGGCCCTTGGCGGGACTTGAACTCAGGGTCTCCTGCTTTCTAGCCTCGATGCCTCCCCCACTGGACCGAACCGGCAGTGGTTGCCTTTGGGGCCTCTGGGCTGATGTGACCTCGCCTCCTGCAGGGCCTGAAGACGGGGATGTACTACCTGCGGACGAAGCCGGCGGCCAACCCCATCCAGTTCACGCTCAACAAGGAGAAGCTGAAGGAGAAGAGCTCCAGGGAGGAGGAGGAGAAGGAGAGGAACACGGCGGCCATGGTGTGCTCCCTGGAAAACCGGGACGAGTGCCTGATGTGCGGCTCCTAAGGAGCCCCCGGCCCCCTCGGCGTCCTTCCGCCTCCCCCAGCTAGGCTAGGTAGCTCTCGGTCCCTGTGCAGCGCAGCCAGGCCCTGGGGCTGCGCTTGCAGGTCACTGGGCGACCGTCCTGCGCTTACTTGTCTTCCCTTGAATGCAGCCAAGCCAGGATTCGGGGATTAGGGGGTGGGGAAAGCAGACAGAAACGGGGGTCCGGCGGCTGTAGCCAGAATCTGTAAGTGCCCTTGAACAGCCGTGGGAGAGTCTTCTCCTGAGTGACCCCCAGGGAGACGGCCTGAGCTTTGACGGACACCTCTTGTGCCTGACCTTCCTTTCCGGAGCCCCTTCCGATGTTCTGCTGCCCCTTCAGTCTGCCCTTTCCCGTGTCTCTCTGGTCCCTCTTTGGGAAGAGGATTCGTAGAACAACTTCCCCCTCTCTCACTCGTCACAAACCCTCGAAAAACTTTGTTAAGACCCCGACGGTTGCCCAGGACTGCCCGGCCGGGTTGTTTGGGCTGAACCCAAGGATGTTCCTTGACTCCACTGGGTAGTTTTCGAACAAAGTTTCAACTATTTATTGTCTTCGGCTACTCCTGCCTGTAGACCTGAACCCTTGAGGCCTGTCTAACACGTCAATAAAGACGGAGGATACAGTTGGACGATTAAAGGACCTTTGCGTACTTTTGTTAGTAGATCACTTTGAGTTCACTTTTGGGGGAAGTCCTAAGCGAACTAGCTGCCTTTCAGTGTTTGAGGGGCTGCCACAGAGAAGAGGGGGTCAACCTGTTCTCCCAAGTAGGCAGGACAAGAAGCAACGGATGGAAACTTAACCAAGGAGAGAAACAACCTAGAGTTAAGGAGGAATTTCCTGACAATTAATTGATGGAATGACTTGCCTTGTCCAGGGTGGTATAGGACACGGGCATCCAATCTTGGCCATTTTAAAACTTGTGGATTTCAACTCCCAGAATTCCCCAGCCAGCCATGCTGAAATCCACGAGTCTTAAACGTTCCCAAGGATGAACAGTCTAGGGGCTCCTACTTGGACATGGGGTTGGACTAGATCAGGGGTTGGCAACCATAAACACTCAAAGAGCCACTTGGATCCATTTTCCACAGAAAAGAAAACACTGGGAGCCGCAAAACTCTAGCGCATCTGCACCATGCGCAGGAGGGGGGGGGCTAGATTGAAGAGTTTAATTAAAAAGAAATAGAGGGTGCTGTGCATGAGTTCTCTCTCGTCTCTCTTTTTCTCTCCCCCTCTCTCTTCCTCTCTTCTCTTTCCTCTCCTCTTTCCCTCCCTCTCTCTCCCCTTCTTTCTCTCCCCTTCTTTCTCTCCCTCCCTCCCCCTCTCTTTCTCTCTCCCCCTCCGATCTGCTCACCTAACAAGCTGGCTTCAAGCTGTTTCCAACAAGCTGACACATTCTTATTGGGCTGGCTCTCTCCTGCCCTTCCTGCTTCCTGCAGAGACGCAGCCAAGGCAGGAGCCCCACCCAGTAAGCTTGTCAGCTTGTCGGAGAGCAGGGTGAGGCCACTCTTTTATATATACACACACACACACAGAGGGGGAAAGTGCAAGTGCCTCTCTGTCTCTCTGCAAAAGGCAGAGGAGACTGGGGGACGCAGATTGCTGATCCATGGACTAGGTCCCTCCCAATTCTGGTATTCTGTACTTCTGTAACCGGTGCATGGGTTTGCTTTCAGCTTGTTTAGGAGTCAAGGGGCTCAAATTATCCGTAGGACAAGCAGCCAGGGTTTTAGGGCTGGATGGTAAGTAACCCCAGTGGGTGGAAGATTCACCCTGGAAAGCAAAGAACAGACCGTCCCTTGGACTGGCTTGCCCTGGGGGAAGAGCAAAACTTCTGGGGAAGGACCTGCCATCTTACACATCCCTGGAATCTTGTTTATCAGATATGAGAAATATTCCTGAAAGAATATTCTTGAGCAGAAGAACAGAAAACAAAAAGCAAGACACTACAGAATGGAAAAGGGCATTTGGCCAGCAGCGCAAAACGCAGGCAAAGATGTGTCTGCGATGGGTTCTAACCACCTTCCAAAGCCTGGCTGTCAAACTGATCCACCTTTTCACCTAGATTTTCTCTTTTGCTCATATCTTGACAATGGAGTGCAGTTGTCATGGTTCTGACAGATGAAACTCTTCGAAAGAACTTTGAGGCATTGTTTACCTTAAAGAACTTATTTGAGTAGCATAATTCGGCACTGCATCAGCGAAGCAAAAAGCTGAGTTCCCCTCCCCTGAGCACCTAGTATCAAAGCACAATTCCCTCCTCCAATTAACAGTCATAAATCACATTCCCCAATTAGCTTGAAGCCGGGGCTTCCTCTCCAGTTCTCCAGCCCGCCAATCCTTTATCAGCTCTGGGCTCAATAACCTTGATTCTCACTGCTGGGTTTAGTGTTGTTATGTCTAGTCAGACTCTTGTTCACATCCCCCCTCCCAGCATCGTCTAACTCTAAAAGCAAAAGGAAAAAGATGGCTACATTTCCATCTGTTGTCAATGCAAAAGCATCCGATGTTAGCAGGGTTGACAGCCAAGTGTGTGTGTGTGTGTGTGTGTGTGTGTGTGTGTGTGTGTGTGTGGAGGGGAGTGATGTCTAGGCAACCAAGAGCCAAGGCCACGGATGAAGGAGAAGTAGACTGTTTCCATAACAAGAAGAAATATTACTATTGGGCAATGTCAACACCAGGTGGGGGGGTGAGGGAGTCTGTCGTTCAACTAAGCAAGCCTCCGAGCAGCGAAACCAGAGCTGGCTTCACTTTCTTTTGTGCCAATGTCAATTTTCAGTGAAGTATTAAATCATGTCCTAGGACAGGGGTAGGCAACCTTGGCTCTTTTATAACTCGTAGACTTCAACTCCCAGAATTCCTGAGGCAGCATGGGGGAACTATGGCCCCCTCATGACTTGTGGACTTCAACTCCCAGATTCCTCAGCCAGCATGGGGAAACTATGGCCCCTTCATGACTGGTGGACTTCAACTCCCAGAATTCCTCAGCCAGCATGGGGGAACTATGGCCCCTTCATGACTTGTGGACTTCAACTCCCAGAATTCCTGAGGCAGCATGGGGGAACTATGGCCCCCTCATGACTGGTGGACTTCAACTCCCAGAATTCCTCAGCCAGCATGGGGGAACTTTGGCCCCTTCATGACTTGTGGACTTCAACTCCCAGAATTCCTGAGGCAGCATGGGGGAACTATGGCCCCCTCATGACTTGTGGACTTCAGCTCCCAGGATTCCTGAGCCAGCTATGCTGACAGGGCAGGGGTAGGCAACCTGGGCTCTTTTATGACTCATGGACTTCAACTCCCAGAGTTCCTGAGCCAGCATGGCTCAGCATGGAAACATCTCCCTTTCCCCTCAGTGTGGCTGGCTCAGGAATTCTGGGAGTTGAAGTCCACAAGTCCAAGAGCCCAGGTTGCCTACCCCTGCCCTAGACCATCTAAAACTGGCGTGGGAGGAAAATGGTGCCTTCTTTGCGTGACCCCTGAGCCACGGCTGATGCCATCAGAAGCCTCAGAGATGGACAGAAGACGTAATCAGCTTTATGTTGAGGCTTTAATCACATCATTGTGGGCTTCCTTTTTGTTTGGAAAATAAAATGGATGAGATTGATTGATTTCATTGATTGATGATGGGCTATCAAGCTGTTCTCAACGCTCATCAATCACACAGATTGTCTCCGGCAGTATCGCCAGCTTTCAGCTCCTGGGACCCTTCCCGAAGGCAGTAGGAAGGAACGTGCTCAAAGTTTGGACTTCTACCTGAATACCTCCATTTCCATTCCTATAGAGGAGTGGACTTGCTCATGACCTGTTTGTGTAGACTTCTTCCAATAGAGGACAATATTTGTACCTCTGGGTTGAAGTGAGGGGTCCTTGGTGCACTCTGAGCTGGGTGGTTTTCTTGCAGATGTTGCATGACCCAGCTAGTGTGGTGATGAAACATCTGCAAGAAAGCAACAATAACCCCATAGTTCTCCTCCTCCTCCTCCTCCTCCTCCTAGCATTGGCATTGAATGACCTTTATTATGCTTTAAGGAGCTCAGAGTCCTTTGAAATAAGAGGGACGGCAAATAAATTTAATAAATAAATGTCATTTCAGCAAATTACCATTGTTGACTATTGATTTTCATCTTAATAGAAATACTTTTGAGATATTTCTGGAGATACTTTAGACATGGATCCAAGTCCATTGTCCCTCTTGGGAAAGGTCATGGGTTGTTTGTCACTACACCCCCCCCCCAAAAAAAATAACTTCTAGGCAATTTTGGATAACTTACCCAGATTTGGGAAGCCCGTCGAGTTTCTTTTTCTGGAAAAGTTTCAGAAGGCTCCCTCTGATCTCTTTGGTTCTCACGCCGTAGATCAAAGGGTGGACAGTCCAGGGGAAGAGCAAGTAGGTTGCGCTGATGAGGTTGTGGATGTCTTGGGAGGATGATTTGACGAGTCGGAAGACGACAGACGAAGAAAGGCGAGAGGAGTAGCTGATGACAATCACAATCCAGTGGGTGCCACAAGTGTGGAAGACTTTCTGACGGACGTTGCCAGAGCGGATCTTCAGAGCAGTGTGGACAATCCGGCCGTAGGAAGCCAGGAGAAGGCTGAGGTCAAAGAGAACGTCAAAGCATCGTATGGTGATCCCTGCCCTCTTGTTCACGGAGATATCGCTGCAGGACAACCTCATGAGGGCCATGTGTTCACAGGCAAAATGGCTGATGACGTTTGAACGGCAGAACTGCACCCGGGAGGCCAAAGCCACCACTGGTCCAACAGTCCCAAGACTTCTCAGCAAGGAGAGGAGCACCAGGAAGCCCAGGAGCTTGGTGGTCATGAGCTTTGCGTAGCGCAGTGGGTGGCAAATGGCCAGGAAGCGGTCTAGAGCCATCATCAGCAGGACATTGCAGTCTAAGACTGTCGTGAAGTAAAGAAAGAACATTTGCACCAGACATTCGGTCAGGGAGATGTGGCTGGCGGGGAGCAGCAAGCTGAGGAGCATTCTGGGAAGGATGGCAAAGGTCCCAAAGAGGTTGACCGTCAAGAGCAGGGCGATGAGCAGGCACATGGGGGAATGGAGGCTCTCCTCGGTCTTCACCGTGTAGATCAGGACGGAGTTGGTGGTCACAATGAGGAGAAACAGGCAGAAGAAAGGAACGGCAAGGAAGGACCTGAACTGCTGGAGACCCGGGAATGGAATGAGGATGAATTCCACATAGGACACGTTGGCCGTGATGTTCTGGATCTCTGCTCCCATAGCCGGCAGGCTGATGGACTTCAGACCGCTGATGTGTCTTGACTCTGAAAAGAAGAGTTGCCTTTTGGTCAATCCCAAAGCCTTGCAGAACAAAGAGCTGAGGTGATACAGAACCAGTTTTAGGCTTCAACAACCTGTGTGCAATTTCCAGATCTCCAGAATCAGGCAACCCTCCCTATCTGCCTGGGCCAGTCTCAGAAACTGGACTGCTGTGTCCAGTCCTGGGCACCAGATCCGCTTCTTCAAGGATGAAGCTGAGAGGGTCTGTTGGGAGACGGGCGGGGAGGAGACCCAAGGACTGGAAAGTGACTCCTACGAGGAGTGCTTGGATGAATTGGAGAAGCTTTGGGAAGCCTCAAGAGGACTTGGGAAGTGTTCTTCCATGGGGGCAAAA